TCATACATGATTCAAGGAGAATATTCCAGGAAAGCCCTTCAGTTTCTGGATGTGGCTGGACTCCATCCTGGAGCTCATCAAGAAACACTTGCTGCCTGTTTGGACTGAGAAGTAAGCCACCGACCACGCTGACTGACCATGTCTCACCCCATCTCACCCTCCACCCCCCCCCCATAATTTACTGCTGTGCAGTAGGACTGCTCCTCTTAGGATACTACTATGAAATGACAGGAGAAGACTGACTGGATACTTCTGTTTGCTTTCTTACAGAGAGTTAGATGAGAGGATCGATACCACTCTCATGTCTGTATGCTGAATATAGAGGTACAGCCAGCAGCCAGTTAGCAGTTTAGCTAAAATACAACATGTTATTTAGTGAGCTGCTTGTAGGCAGATTTTTATACCTTTGGACAGAGCTATGCTAGTTTTTTCTCTGTTTCCAGCCTTTACGCTATGATAAGCATACGGACATGAGAGTGGTGTCAATCTCTTCATGTAACTCTTGGTAATAAAGTGAATATGCTTATTCCCCAAAATGTTGAAGTATACATTCTTTTAAAACTTTTCTGTGTTAACAGGATAGTGAAACTGAGAAGAGGTTGCGCCAAATTCAATCTAATGGCATGAAACATAACATATAAAACACTGGCTCACTGTCACAATATTAAATGAATTCAATGTAGATTTCACAGGACTCAAAGTGAGACATTTTTTATAAGTGAAGCATCCTATGGATTTGGCTTGAATCTCACTCAGTCACAAATATTAGCAGCCTGCAGATTTTGTGTCAAACTGCTCCACCTATTTGAAAAAGATTGCAGCAGCATGTCAGACCTGCAGAAGTAGACATGTCAACATGGCCTTAACATACACACACATACTAAAATGTGACAGAGAAGACAAAAAAGTTCAAAGCATTAAAAATGATTTTTTTTTTTTAGCTACATCATGGGTTTTGTGAGTAAAGAGATGGAGCGCACTCTGCTGAAGGACAGAGAGCCGGGCACCTTCCTCCTACGCTTCAGCGAGAGCCATCTTGGAGGAATCACTTTTACCTGGGTGGAGCACAACGACAATGGTGAAGTCTCTTTCAAATATAACATTTCCACCAAACCAATGGTATAGAAAAGCATACTAACCTGATGGTTTTTTTTTATATGATGATTTGACCTTTACTTGACCTAATGCTATGTTTTGCTAATAATGACTTTTTAGAACACATCCTCCCTCCTTGAATGTGTTAAATTCTTTGAGACCAATATCACTGCAGGATCCTACGAAAACTGTGTCACTTATTAAATTTCTGAATACAGACAAAACTGCTGACCACTAACAGTCACTCTCTGACCTCTGGAACTGTACCACATCTTTTTAAAACTGCTTGTGTGCAACCACTGCTGAAGTGAACTGGTTTAGATCCCACAGACCAAAAAAAACCTCTGGTAGTACCAGACCAACTCCTACTGGCACTTAACAATAACAACAACATTTTTGATAAGTTTCTACCCGGTTACCGCAACTTATACAGCATTGAAACTGCCCTGCTTAGAGTCACAAATGATTGGGAATGCACTGGTGTTCCATTATTTACCTCTTGAAATGGTCCCTAATTGCTTGCTGAAAAAATATTCTATAAATAAAATTATTATTGTTACCATTACAACAGGAGATGTGAAGCTCAACTCTGTGGAGCCGTACACTAAAAACCGGCTCAGTGCTCTCCCATTTGCCGACATCATACGAGACTACAAAGTGATCTCAGACGGTTTTGTCCCAGAGAACCCGCTCAAGTTCCTCTACCCGGACATCCCCAAAGACGAGGCCTTTGGTCGGCTTTACAACAGTCAGCCAAGCAAAGGCAAGGGTGCAAAACCATTTCTTCATTTAATGTTTTTTAGAGCATCTTTTGAATCTTTATTGGTTGACAAGATTGCGGACTACAACACTAATCTCTCTCATGTCTGTTAAATTTCCAGTCCATCCATACATACCATCTACCCTGATCCCCATCTCGCAATTGAAGTAAGTTTATTACTAACATGAGACCCTTACTCAGCTCACTTTGTATGAAAGTACAATTTTTGTTGAACTTTTTATTTAATGTTTTAATTTTGGGGGTATAAATGTTGATTATGTCACATTGCTTGTGCTGTCAAGGCATCCTACAGCATAATGATGTGTTATGTATGAATTTCCACTGATGAGAAACAGTGCCTTCACTTGTATTATCTCCCTTATATCACAGGCCTAATTCAAATGCCACACCACCTTCCTGTCAGTCTCCTGAGCCCCCAATGACTCCGGGGGAGTTTGACATGCTCAACGAGCACCTGTGCTTCGACATTGACACCGTGAGTTTGCATGCTTCAGCATCTGGTCGACTGTACCTCTTCTGTCTTGAAGGACAGTGTTGGCAATATCCTGTATTTTTCTTATTGTAAATAAATCCAATGAAAAGACAAAATCCAACAATAGACTGATCCTACTGACAAGTATTGTGTGTGAATTCAAAGTCTGGTATATCTACTACTGACTGTCCTGCCAAATGGTTTTTAGAAATCTTTTTAAGTTCTTAAGATTTAAATTTTCAGTAGAAACAAATGGGTGTAGGACTCACTGCTACAGTTCGGGTAAGCAATACAAGAAATATTAAACGATAGAGTAACTCATTGTTCTTTTTTTAATTGGATTTGTTCAAGAAAAAATATAGAGAAACACCAGCCTTATCCTTGTGTGTGTGTGTGTGTGTGTGTGTGTTTGTGTTTGTGTGTGTGTGTGTGTGTGAACAAAATGATCATATTGAAAACAAACGTTTCCACACAACAAATGATATTAAAACTAATAGTACAACTTAAATTTTCATTGCTATATGAAAAGATGGTACAGTGTTACCACATTAGTATCAACATTAGCACATTAGTAGCACAAATATACTGGTATTAATATCTTTTTTTACATTAGTCTAGCATTAAAATGTATGTGTGTTGTTGTATTCTGTGTGTATTGTATATGTTTGATAGGATTATGTAAATCTGCCATAGTGAATATTGTTTACATTCATATGCTTCATTGTTTGTTTGTCTGTTTTAGTGTTATTAAATGTTTTTTATCTTGAGCCCATTGAATTGCTCCTAAAAAAGCAGGTAAAAACTGTGAGCTTCTACTGGGTCTGAGCAAATACGCAAATGTTTCCAGAAAACTCAGCTGCTAATGTATTTTTATTATTTTTTTCTATTTTTTGTAGAGGAGTCCTCCATATTATCTGCTGCTCATATTCTCCTTTTGCTTTACAGATGAGTTCTCCATATTCAGAGTGAAACGAGATGAAATGCGCAACATTTTGCTCAAAGGTTCCTTGAATCCTTCCTAACAAAGTTTTCCCACTGACCTGACACCAGCCTCCAATCAACATCTACATCTTGGTTATCATGAAGCGGTCTGCTATGTTTAAAGAGGTTTTTGTGGTGAAATTGGATTCATCACATGTTGTTTTTTACATTCATAATTGTTTTTAAAAGAGATTTTCATGTCACTCTGTTTTTATTGTAGATCTGTGACAACCTGCTTTGGAGTTACTTATATTTTAACTGTTTCTATAAAGTCTATATTGTATATAAAACAATTTAAATGTGTTTATTTTGACTGCAGTGTACTATAATGACAGCTTCTAATATATCTGCATCATGGCACCTATAAATACACCGGTCCAATGAAATAATGGCCACGCATCATACAGATGTCCTTTGATGATTTATTTTCCACCTTTTATCGTAAGACACCGTGAAAACTATAAAAAATAAACACATAACATACAATGAGTCAAAATGCACCACTTTCAGTCTTTTTACAGTCCCTTAAGCAAGTTTCCTTAACTAGTCGGGTCCAAACAATGTGTTGCATGTACATTGCATCATTCAGTCATTCATTAATTGTTAGCTCAACTGCCACCTATCGACCATGAGGAGGCATGGCAGCGTCTACAGATGACGCAGCTGAGATTTTATAGAGCTTTTATTTTGGAAGCAGTCGGAAGTAAAAAAAAAGAAAAGCGCACACCTCACTGCTTTATGCTTGAGGCCAAAAACGCCCTAACAGTTAATACTCCCACAGCGTTTATCGAGAATCACGTGATTATCGGAAGCGAGAATTGGGTGGATACGTGAAGTCACAGAGACTTAATCAGAACAATGAGACTTTTTTCAGATCACGATCTTCTGTTTGAGATTGTTCTTAAAAAATTATAAGAATTCAAATCCAGTATCATAAAATTCAAATAACAGAATCCAAATGTTTGTTAGAAGCATGTTGTTGGCCATTTATAAGTGATTATACACAACCAGTATGTTACATTAAGCGCCTTCTTACCTCTGACAGACAGTGTTCCGAAGCTGATAATATGATGAATATGAATACAAAAGCCTTTCATACAGAGCCACCCAATTAGACTGAGTGGACTAATCACATGTTGCACCACAGGTTCATGCAAGGCCTGAAATCTGTCTTTGTATGTGTTTTTCATAACAGACATTTTGACTTGAAAGCAGGAAAGACACAGGTTAGGTGTTCATGACAGCCAGCACAATGAGTCAGGACCCTCAAACTTGCACATATGGAAAGAAGACATGGTAAATATTATGAAGTACACTTGTGCCTTTCCTGGTTTTAAGTGTTAAAAATGTCTGCGGTGTAAAAGGCCAACTCTCTGGTAATTTAGGTCCATTACAGGCAGGCAAGGGAAACAAAGGTCACACCTTTAGCACAACTGTTTCTATCACTGAAACTCAGATCAGGTCATTCTGTTGTTTCTTTACATATCTAACACCCGGAAAAGAAAGCCATAAGAGGCCAGTAGACTTTACTTTAGTGTTTTGGAGACGGAAATGAAAACTGTAACTGCGCTGACTTGACGCAGTCAGTATGATCGTTTCTGGAGAATCACGTGGTTCGTGGGTCACTATAAATACCTCCCCTGTCATTCAGATGCACACTGACAGCACAGTGTGAGGCGGCACTTCCGACTTGGACACATACTACACACTTAAATAAAATATTGATAAACGACACCAACGACAAACAACGACAGTCACAAGGTAAGTCAATTATAGCACGACGTAGACGTTTTTTGTTTTATTTTATGGAAACAGTTTCGTGTAAGGCACGACATGGGTGTACGTACTGGTGTTCAGCTAGCAATGTCAAAAGCTTCTTGATAAAAATGATTCAAATAAATGAATGTCGGTGTTATTTAGCTAGTTTTCTAGACGCTTCCGGTTTGCTAGTTAATGGGAAAATTATGGAAAACTTAAAGAAGGACCGGTCATCCGTCTTTCGCAACACTTATTGTTATGGAAGTGTGTCAGATATCACAGTTGAAGCCTTGACGCTGTCTCTAACCATCTTCCAAATTTCTGAAAAGTTTAAGGTTTGTGTGCATATAGTTGTTTTGTTTTTTTCGCTTTCTTGTGCGCCTGCTCCGACACTTCGCGATGATTATGTTTGAACTTTTCAGGAAGTCTATGCTTTCTTCATTTCAGGTCCTTTTCAAGCAATCAATCAGATGGTTACCAGGCTCGTCACCCTGGTAACCAAGAAAATGAAGAAGCTTGATTTGGCCGTTTTTGTCATGATTTCTGTCTATCCGAAACGTTATGATATGTTGCATTGAACTACCAGAGACAAACAGCCCGGACACTGAATGGTGGTGGTGATATTTTGTCAAGATATTGTTGCCATAGAAAAGATCACAGCTGGATCCGGAGGGAATGTCCACGTTCAACGCGGTACATTATTATCGGACTTTTTCTCAGTGTTGCGTGCTGACTGCTTTTGTTGCGTAATTGCAGATGACACAGTGGCAGGAGCTGCTGAGTCTGAACCTAGTCCAGGGCCAGTTGAGTGAGCTGTATGAGAGAAAATTCCCCAGACACATCCGCCACTGCCTGTGCATGTGCATAGAGGACCTGGACTGGTAAGAGAGGCAGTCTACTGCATGATGCATGGCTTTGAAAGGTGTGGACGGGGACACAGGCAGCAGTGACAGTTGTGATAATCTCTATTTTGTCAGCTTTTAGCGGGTTTAGATGGTGCATTTTACTGCCTAAATTGTGCTTAATTAAATTACCTAATTACAAATTTCTAATTACAATGCAGTGTGAAAAAGAGTGGGGACTCAAGGGACCCTCTACTGGGTTATTTGCTCCCCCCCTCCTGAAATATGATATATTTATTATACACACACACACACACACACACACCACACACACACACACCTTTTTTCAGTATTGAATTACTATGTAATAATAATAATAATTAATAATAACAATAATAATTATAATAATAATAATGGAAAAGAAACTGGAGCAAATAAATGTGGTTACCCAGGTTACAAATCACTGGACTAAATGGGGAGTTCAACCTAATGTTTGACTCATATTTGTTTTCTAATTGGCTTAAACCTTTAAACCTTAAACCCAAAACGGAAATTCATCCCAAAACTGAAGCCACATACATGACATAGCCCCAAGCTATATCCATCTCAATCTCGTTTCTCCTTCTCTTTTTTATTTATTTTTTTTCTCCCTCACTTCCCCCAACAATGATTGTCCACGACACAGACTCAGAGATGTCCCCTCCTGTTAGAGGTGTTTCTTTAAATTTGAAGATAGAATAACTTTGTCATACTAGTCAGTTTTGATGTTGAATTATTTTTAAACAAAGTATGTTTCTCCTTGTTAGGGATTCGGCTGCTGTGGATGAAAATAAAGCAATTGTTTGCTTCCATGCACTCATATTCTATTTGGAACAACAGTGGAACCAGTCTGTCCAGCAGAACCACAATTTGCCAGGACCTGATTTTCAAGGGATGAGGGACTACCTGTTGGTAGGGAAACATTTGAATGCAGTGCTACATTTGAGATGATGTTTCTTTCTGAGAGCATCCTCAGCTGTACTGTACTTGTTATTTACAACTTTTTCTTGTTTTGTTGTTTTTTTAACTTAGAAAAACTTTCAGGGTGTGCCACTGAACTTGGCCGTCATACTCTCTGAATGCCTACAGGAGGAAAAGAGAATCCTGTTTTCAGCCACTAAGACACAGGTAAAATGACACGTTATACAGCAGTTACAACAGTTAGTTCCAACCAAGTTATCTGATTGACAAGTCATTCCATGAGTGCTGATATAGAGTATAACATCACTGGGACTTTTAACATCATGTATCACTACGCTTTACAGGTGTTCTATTAACCGTTAATCAGGTTTACATTAACGGATGTTATCTATCTTAGATTGTAACAAACTAACTAATAGATATATAGATAGAAAGATAGATAGAAATAACATTTAATTAAATGATGTATGGTCAGAAGAGGATGAAGGGAGGAAGCCTGGATACTTCAGCGCACACATCCAGGTGCACTCATATAAGTCAGGAAAATGTTTGTGTTGCTTAGCAACAGTCCAGTACCATTGAAGTTGCAGAACTATTTGTGTTGGTGTAGCCAAATAAATGATGATTTAAACAATCATAATCTGTTGTTTCTTATTAGCTACTGTTAGCTAATATGGCGCTTGTAGAACTGTTGTATAGAAACAATATCACACTCGAGGTTGTGATGCTGTACTGAATATCAACACGGTCTGCGGCCTTGAACTTATGACCGAATCACAGCCATACTCATATTCAGTACAACATCACTCCCTCTCGAGTGATATTGCTTAAATATCAGTTGTCACAATGAACTTTTTCATTTCAATCAAGTGCTGTGCAGATGCATATCATACCCCTAGCGGTCTCTAACATTTTTCTGCAGTTCTGATACATTCTGTCAAAAAAGAATTGTCCTCTGCTATTTCTTATGTAATTTTTTATGTTTGTAAGAATCTCCACCACACCCCAATAACAAGAAAAGAGTGAAAGACATATCTTTGTTTTTATCAGGGTGGTGACGGTCCAACTGTGGATCAGAAATGGAGAGAGCTGGACAACGGAATCAGTGAACTGAAAAGGCAGACTTTGGTAAATTCATTTGGTCTTTTTTTGATTGCACAGGTGCTTGCTGGTTTGTTAGTGGTATACTTTATTATTTCTAAATCTGTGAACTTTAACTCTAATGCAGGAGGTAAAGAAGGAAATGAAGTCACTGGAGATCCTATATGAAAACCATGACTACATACTGAAGACCTGGAAAAGCAAAGGTGTGGTAGGAGACATAAAGAATCAGATGATAGGTTTGGTGTGAGTTCATGCTTCATTTTTTTTTCTATCTCTTTTGTCACTGTCAGTAGAGAAGTGTATTGGATTGGCCCAGTCCCAAGCTGCTGTGAAAGAGGAATGCCTTAAGCAAGCCAATTTTATCAGTCAAACAAAGCAGGTACAGTAGAAACATCTTTGTTGTTGACACAGCACTTTTATGTTTTAAAGGTTCCCTGTGTTTTTATTTGAAATGTTGATCCATAAGAAGATATATTTGTGCTTTTAAGAACCAAAAACCATCTCAGTGTAGTTTTACATCTCCTCTCTCAGGCTAACAACAGGTCGGTGAGCCAATCAGAAGAGAGGAGGCTCTGAGCCTCTCTTCTGATCCAATAAAAATATTGCAAACTTCAGGTAATCAAAATCAAAAAAGAAACCAAATCTGGTGGGTCCAGGTGGGCGGGGTTTCAGACATGACTGAGGGTAGTAAATGATTTGTTGTGACATCACAAAGTCGTCCTGACGGCTGGTTTTAAGGCTCAGTTTCTGAATACAGGCTGTGTGCATTTCTCTGTGGACTGAGAACTTTGATACTTTCACAGTATTAATATAGAACCTAGACCTGATCTATATTTAAACAATACATTGACATCTACCTTTATACTATATGGGACTTTTAAGCAATTATTTTACAGCATACCTACAGTTTGTCAAATAAGGTGTAATTGCTGTCATAGCACGGATCTGTGAAAAGCAGTTCTTTGGGTATTTGGGGAAGCATTTTTTTTCTTCCATTAATTTTCTCCTTGAGCAAAAAAATTATTTTATAAAATAAATAAATGTTGAAGTCATTGATAATTGATTGATAAAAAGCGTGATATGATGATTGTAAGCTACAACAGTCTCTACATTATTAGTAAGGTCACTGTTGAAGCAGCTTAATGAGAGATCCTCCTCACATACATAATGCCTGCTGTGTTGTTTTGTTTTCTGCAGGTGGTGCTGCAGCAGATAGTGAAGATTTTAAAACAGGCCGAGCAGATAGTTGCGGCTCTCACTGATGTGGAGCTGCCTGAGTGGAAACAGAGGCAGCAGATGGCCTGCATTGGAGGTCCAGTCGACACCTGTCTGGACCACCTCCAGATGAGGTAAGAACGTCCACAGCGCTGCATCGGCTTTTCACATTTCATGTTGACGAGGATACTTTCTGTGTATCTAACAAAATGTCTTTCTGTCCCAGCTGTCACACTCAAGGCGTAATGACAAAGTATTTGTTATGTGTGCTCTATGTGCAGGTTCACAGCTGTAGCAGAGGTGCTAATACAAGTCCGCCAACAGCTGCAGAAACTACATGACCAGAACAAGAAATACGACTGCAATGATGCCTCCAGCCTCCATGAAGAAACTGAGAAATCTGCACTGTCCCTGCTCACAAAACTTCTTTCAAGGTGAGACGTGGCATCAGGACTCCTTTGTTATATATAGTACAAACACACACGCACACTTTTATATTGTAAACATGTTTTGTTGTGGTCTTGTATTGCAGTGCTCTAGTGGTTGAGATACAACCTGTCATGACGAATCTGCCACAGCGACCTCTAATACTTAAGACCGGGGTCCGGTTCACAGCGGCAGTTCGGTGAGTAGCCAACACAGAACCGTGGAGTGAGTTCAGGTTACTCACTTTACAAGAGATAAGGTTTTATTTCATGCACAGTAGGTCTGAATGTGTTTGATAATCAAGTAACGTATTGTGCTGCAGGAAGAGTTACTGCAATTCATCTGCAGTTAGCGCTTCTTCTGTTAAATTACTGTGATTGTAATGTTATTATTTTCTAAATTAACTGTGCTTACTGTAAGAACTACAAAATGCTTCCCGCGCCAAGATCAAGTAGCTTTAATCTTTTAAGTACCATATATTAACCAAGCTTGAAATGTGCACCCCTTCATTATGTCTTAAACAATCACTGCTTCACCAATAAACTGCAAAATACAAGCCTTGGAGCTGTACGTGCTCAACAGTATCACACAGACGAAGCATATTAAATTTCTAAAAACATTTTTGGGGGTATTTAATGGAGAGGTGACTGGAAATAAAGTGAGGGAGTCATTGTCAGTATCTGTTTCTTGTCTTGTCAGGTTCTTGGCAAACCTCCCTGAATTCAAGTGTCTGCTCAAAGTCAAACCTGTATTTGACAAGTAAGTCAAAGAAAGACTTTGGCCTTTTTAAAATTTGAATTGTTTTATTTGTTTGTGTTTTCTGATAAAATCTTTTTGTATCCTTTTATTTCCAAAAAATCAGGGATGTTGAAGAAACCACAACGGAAAAGGGGTAAGTAAAGGGTTCTCAAAACAGTTAGAAAAACTGAAATGTAAAGTCTTCCATTATTTATATGATCATTCTTCATGCTTAATTAATTTTTGGACATAGACTCACTCTGGTCTGATGTTTTTGTAGGTTCCGTCACTTTGATTTCACCAGGGATAACAGTAAGGTGCTGGATGTGGAGCTGCCTGGTGGAGGCCTGGTGGCAGAATTCACACACATGGTATGAAACCACAAACTGATGAGCTGAAACATTTGTTTATTCTGTCATTGATCAAACAACAAACATATATATTTGTATTTCATGAACAATACGTGTAATATCATTCATACATCACTTGACTCAAATAACTATTGTACAGTATAATACTTTGACGTTTACATTTTTTTTTTTTCAGTCAGTCAAGGAAATAAAAACAAGAACCAAAGGTTCATGTCAGGTAAGAGGAGATATTTATATCAGCTGTCATTTGTAGGTGTAAACACTTGAGCCTCTGTGTATCGGTCACCACCTACTGGCTGTGGCTGACATTAAACCCCACTAGAAGCTCTAATCTAACGTGTCATTCATTGGTATGAAAGTGATTGTGTTTGCATATACATACCTCTTGGTGCAAAAAGAAAAGAATATCTTGCATTGAAACGTAACCTTTGTCATCCACAGTTACAGTGCATAAGTCATTACGTATATCATTACATTTTTGTGCCTTTTTCATTATATCACCTACACATTATATGACCTACTGAATGCAGTTCCCACATTAATCTGTATCTGCCGGATGTGTAAATAAGCATTTGCAGTACCACATTTTATAAATGATAGATTTTGTGTTTATTAAAATCAGAGTCGCCTGGGAGTCACTGAAGAACTTCACATCATTAAGTTTGTGACAGTGTTTCAGCATGCTGGACTGAGCTGTGACATCGAGGTGAGCCAACATGTCATTTAAATTATAGTCATTCATTTTCAATTTCAGTGAAGCAGTAAAGACGATGCTCTCTGCCGTTTAACTTAAAATATTGGTGGATGTCAGAGAAAAATGGTAGCCAGGCAGTTCACTGAAAGGTCTTCTTCTCTTGTGTTGGTTCAGGCCAGCTCCCTGCCTGTGGTCATCATCTCCAGTTCCAATCAGATCCCCAGTGCCTGGGCCTCTGTCATGTGGTGCAACATACTGTCTTCCAGCGAGCCAAGGGTAAAGCTATCACACAGCAAATAAGACATGTTCAAATTGCTCCAAACACTCGCTTCCTTCTATATTTGATATTTTGTAGTGTTGTCTTTAATTTTTTCATGTACAGGTACTACCATTTTCTTTCTTCTTATTGTGCTGAATAAGTGTTTCTAGTCTCAAACTCGTGGTCAAGATCACATGCCTGTGTTGGTGTCTTTTGTCACTGGAGAAAAAAAACATCTTAAAACTCTTATTTTATTCTTTAGGACCTGTCATTGTTTGTCGACCCTCCTCCAGTCACTTGGCAGCAGCTGTCACAGGTTCTCAGCTGGCAGTTTCTGTCTGTGGGCCAACGAGAACTTGATGAAAACCAGCTCTCCATGCTAAGAGACAAACTCATGGGTGAGTATTTGGCTGCTTCTCCCATTGAACAGGGCCATGCTACTTTCTAGTGGTAGCTCGAGTTCACCCTTTGTTAGAAATGTTGATCTGAGTCAATTCTTAGAGCAAATTTTAATGGGAAAATACTTATTAGTATTGGAGACAGTGCGAGTTGTAAAGTGTGTTGACTTCTGTGGATGTTAAAGTAATTGTTTGACATTTTGGGAAATACCGTTATTAGCCTTCTTGTTGAGAGTTAGATGAGAAGATTGACATGTCTGTACGATAAATATGAAGCTACAGTCAGCAGCCTGTTAGCTTAGCTTAGCTTCAGATCTGCTAATAGACAGATTCTGTTACCTTTGGAAGGAGCCAGGCTAGCTGTTCCCCCCCAGCCAATTTCAAGTCTTTATGCTAAGCTAACCAGGTGTTGGCTATAGCTTCATACTTACCACACAGACATGAGCGACATCGATCCTCTCTTGAGTTAACGTTCATCAGTTGGATTCAGTAAGTCAGTGAACCGGATTTCATGTTCTTGAATGAAACGTTGCAATAATAGAAAATATAAAGATGATGTGTCACTTCCTCTGTTTCAGAGTTCATGTTATTTTTGTGACATTTGTTATGTAACTGTTTCTTCACAGACGAACCTGATGGTCTCATTCATTGGAACAAGTTCTCTAAGGTGAATATTGAGCAAGGTCCATACTGTAACCTGTTGGACATGTGTGTGTGTGTGTGTGTGTCTGTGTTTGTGTGTGTGTGTCTGTGTCTGTGTCTGTGTGTCTGTATGTTCTTCACATCTTGCCTTTACTTCCCTCTGGCAGAATGAATGTGCCTGGATTTGGATCAACGGGATCCTCGATTTGATCAAAAGACATTTGGTGGATCTTTGGCAGAATGGGTAAGACACATCTTTACTGTGTGTTGTTGTGTCATCCACAAATAATTACCACATTAATAATGAGACAGTGGTCCACATGTGGCCACTAAAACAACAACAGTGCCTTCTCAGTATTATTATTTGAGAATGTGGATGAGGATGAAGTCATTATGCTTCCCAGTTCGCTAACCTCTTGTTGTATTGTGCTCGGGGGTTTTCAGGTACATCATGGGGTTCGTGAGCAGGAAGTCAACACGGAGCCTGTTGCGGGAAAAACCGACCGGGACCTTTCTGCTGCGCTTTAGCGAGAGCAACAAAGACGGAGCCATCACCTTCAGCTGGGTGGAACACACCAACGGTGGTATGTTTCTGTACAGGAAAACTCAAAACGCCTTCAGAAAAGAGTTGAAATGATACAGGTTTTTCAAAACTACAAAACCCATACTTTTGGTACTTGTGGAAAAGCCTTTTAAATAACGGTTGGACAAAGTAAGACAAACAGCACTTTCACACTGTGATGACAAATCATCAGAGTTTGCTCAGTTGTTTTGGATTAGTATTGGAGCAGCTCTGCCGTCTGTGTAGACGCGGTGTAAGATAAGAAAAGCCCGAACAAACCACCATGAAGTGAGAACTGCTGACTGCTGCTGCCTCCAGTCATCTGTCCTGTGATGAATGAAATTATTTCAAAATCACACATTAGGAACTTGTCTTCTCATGTTTGCTTATGTTTTCCTGTGTACATGTTTCCTCTATAGAGACCCATGTGCATTCAGTAGAGCCCTACACCAAGACGGAGCTGACGGTCCTGTCTCTGCCAGACATTATATACCTCTACAGTCTGAAGTCTGAGGAGAACACGACCAGGAATCCTCTGCTCTATCTTTACCCAGACATCCACAGAGACGCTGCCTTTGGACGCTACTGCAGCATCCCTGGTATTGTCTCTTAACTTACTTCACGCTGAGAATCAGCTCACTTTATTCACAGAGTGCAACAATAGACAAACAGGAATTAGTTTCAGGATGGTGATTGTTATTTATGTGTTCCTGCAGAAACATATTGTCTAACATAATATCAACCAGTACTGCATAACAATGTGCTGATTTGAAGCTCCTCACACTTTTCAACTTGTACTGACTTATAGATTTATAATGTTAATGTTGCCATTACAACTGCATAGATTATCCAGTGTACTGTAAGTCTCTGTCATATTATTAGAAGCATACTGTTCTCGATTGAACATGAGCCCTGTAATGACCTCTAATGACCTCTGTTCATGCAGAAAAGGAGGCACCTAAAAACATGAATGGCTACGTTAGAAGAAATCACACTTGTTCAGTGTAAGTAAGACAATAATGAATAATCCAAAAAACATCAGGAGTAAATGCTATGCATCACAAATATTTGCCCATTCTGCATTGTTTGCTGCTGTACAGTAAAACATTGTGTTTTTTTTGTCTACAGAGATCCTACACCACCTTCCCCTCCACCTCAGGAGGCACACATGGACACACACATGGACACTGACGCAGACACAAGTGTGGGTTTGAAATTTTACTACAAACTAATTTTCCTGAAGTCCTTTTAAAGCTTAAACTCTGCAGTTAATTAAAACTAAATCTTTTCTTCACTTGTAGATGGAGGATCAAGTGATTCAGGATCTCTTCTACGATATCTTGGGTCTGCCGAGGTCTCCTGCCCTCTTGATGTCAAGGCAAGACACAACAACTCACTTCTTCAACTGAAGTTTAACACAGATTTTATGTTTTCTGGTGCAGGTGTTTTTTTTACAATACAGTAAAAAATATTTTGTCTAGATAAGTGTAGTGTTAATGTTAACATGTGGGTTGGGAAACATATCTGTGTTTTTTTTTTTTTGTTAAATGTGTGCACAAACTTTGTGGCTGCCTGTCAGAAGTTGTAGAGGACAATCCTGCTGCTATGGGAAAGAATGACGATGCTGTACAGTAAATGATTTTTTAAAACTTTTGTTTATTAAAATAAACATTTGAAAACGTTCCGCTGGCAAAAGAAATAATATCTGCCTCATACAGTACTGATCCTGTACTCACAATTTTATACAGAGAAAAGGACAAACACATTCAGCGGTCTCATGTCTCCGGGAGGGAAACTGAGACACCAGCCTCCTCATTAATCCAGCACATCACAAGTTTTCAGTGACGGAAAATGCAGAAAAATTTTAGAAATCAATGCACAGTTAAAATGAAAAGAGATATCCATTAATGTCAAAGAGCTACATTACATCCACTGAAATATATATCATTTTATATTGTGGTCCTTGACCATATTTTCAGCACTTAAATAGGTGCAGTCACTAATGATTTACCTGTTGAGTCAAACATATAAATGACCATATATGTATCATAAGAGTGATTTTAATCAGTTACATTTCTTGCAAAATTTTAACACTCTTTTTATTTACTTAAATAATAAATAAACGACTGATCAAATAAATAACTGCCAACAAGCCTCACCCTCAGGTTTCACTACACCTGATGGAGTCTGACACAACTTGAACAAATACACAGGAGCCAAACGAGCCTGTATTTACATTTATGATTATGTGAAAAACACAAAATGCAGATTCCCATCTAAATATCTGTATTATAAATGTTAATGTACTGTACTTTGGTTAAAAACTAAAATAAAAACATATTGGCCCATTAAAAACTTTCTGAATTTCCATATTTTCTCAGTCACGAGGGCAATGTTGGTCATTCCAGTCTGAAATATCTCGCTCATTGGATGGATTGCAGTGAAATGTTGTATAGACACGGTCCCCAGAGCTTGAACCCTGTTGACTCCAAAGTCACCATAAGGTTCTATTTCTGACCAAATACCTGCAACACATTCCCATCAAGCTCAGCTGCTCCGTGTATAGTGTTAATTTGTAAGTTGTAGCATAATAACACACTAACATCAAACATTATACCTGCTATCAGCGCTGACATTGTGAGCATGTTGGTCTTGTTGACCAGAACAACACTCAGCTATCAGTTTTCCTGGTCACATATGACAGAGAGAAGGGGTCAGAGAGTCCAGGGAACGATGTGTCAGGGTGTGTGTGTGTGTGATGGCAGAAATGAGAGTGGGCACTCTTTGGTTAATAACTGGGTGGCATTAATGCTCTTTTACATACGATACATACCACTTGGATTAAAAAAGAACGACAAAGAAGGAGGAGTTCAGATTATAAGGGAATGATCCATTCAGTCTTTGGTCCGTCGTATGTCAGTGACTGTCCCTGAATTCCTGGACGAAAGTAGTTCAGCACTTGTTGCACATGTGTAACATATCGAAAGCAGCCATGTATTTTAGGCAAACTTCTCTCATTATCATACAAGCAACAACAAAAATGTGAAATAAATGATTGAATATCTGCTACGGATCTGAGCTGAAAAGTGAAAAGAGCAGGTTAAAGATGAGAAAGTGGCATTAAGAGTTTGAATTTTTTAATCACCTCATTGCAATTAACATATATCACCTTTTCATTTTTTAAATCAATTTAAATTATTTAACCAATTTCCATCATTTAAAGTATGTGTTAAATTTTACCTTTGAGTCTTTGACCTTTTGGCAGAATTACAGTACGTATATTCCTACAGTACATTCATAGACCTCCATTTGGATTAGGTCTGAATGAAATCTAAAATCTATTGCATTGGAAATATCTGATCCTTCATATTGTTATTGGTCACGGTCAACATTTTAAAACCCCAACAGCAGCAGCCTGTAATAAAACCACAGAAAAATATATTATAATATAGTTGCTGACATAGTTGATGGGAAGAGATGGAGGATGTGGGGCGGAGAGCAGACGACCCACCTGCTTATCAACATCATCAACATCATGTTATCAGCGTTCTTTGTCAAGTTTACAAACCCATGAAACATCTACAGAAAAATGTAACTATGCCAACAAAAATAAAGAAATCAATGTGCCTTCATCACCGTGGAAACAGATAACACGCTAGAAAAGCCTCCCTGTGAAATAAACGCTCACTGCTTCTATTGCACGTGTTGCCACTGATAAATACATTCAGAATACAATCTGTCCGTGACTTCAGAGGAGACGTGAAGCCTCATGAAACCTGCTGACGAGCTGGCGTCAGTCAGCGGGATGAGATGAGAACAGATGTAGGTAATGAGGAGATCCAACAGGCACATAACTGCAGCGTTAGCACGATGCCTGGTACTTTTTTTTTTTTTATACACATTTACACAATCAGACACATCATACAATTTATAGCAAACACCTCACTATCTCACAGAACTAATACAGTCAGAGTATTACCAAAATATTACCAGGTAGAGAAGAGTATAAACAGAACTGTACTGTAACTAAACTACCACACTGGGACAGACTGCAGGAGTAATATACTGAATAAACTAAACATTGCATTACAGATATTTAAATGTTGTTATATCATTTGTTTAAACAGTATTGATGAGGCGCTCACACACACACACACACACACACACACACACACACACACATACAAAACACTTTACATTATGACGCAGAGCAGTGATATACAGCCGGAGCAGATGAAACACGACAACAGAGAAAAGCAAATAACTAAGTCAGCACTGATATTCAGAGCTATTCCAGAGAAGCACAAGGTTACAGTGGCTGTGTGCAGCAGGTCTACAGCAGGCTGTCCAGGCTCTTCTCAGCGCTCTCCTTGTCATCGGCCCGGGCAGGGGGGCTGTATTTGTCATGGTACTGCTGCAGGATGGTGACCACATCGTGGTGGCCGAAGTGCACCGCTTCATCCATCGGCGTGTTCGCCCATCTGTGCAGGAAAAACATCGTTACAACACATCTGAAACAATGAAAGTCTTCTCTGTGTCTCTTAATCGTAGCTGCTCTATGTGAATGATAAAAGCATCATTCATCCACTTTAAATCATGGAGAGTCTGCGTGTTTGTGTGTGTGTGTGTGTGTGTGTGTGTGTGTGTGTGTGTGTGTGTGTGTGTGTGTGTGTGTGTGTTGTGTGTGTGTGTGTGTGTTGGTGGTTTTTATGATCCAGGTCACCTCAGAGACTGAATCTGTTTCATAACTTACCTTTTGTACTTTTAACCAATAATCACATTAAACAGGAAACAAAGCCAAGAACTACAAAATAAATGAGAGTAAACTTTCTTCTAGTTTACACATGTATATACTGGTGATGCTAATGTATCAGTTTGACTTGTTTCCGTGTTTTGATCCTGTGGACACACAGTTGTTTGACAGTGAACTGCTCCACACAAACACTTTCCTCGCTGCTGGTAATAAAACTGTCCTCTGGTGTTAAAACTAATGAGGCCTTCAGATTATACATTACAGTTTATATTACATAGATTACTCAAGCAAGTTTCAAGTGTGTGCAAGTTGATTTATGACATTGTCATGTCATGAATTAGTGGCTGCATGAAATGTACGATAGGAAGTTAATCTATAACGGTGTGCTTGGGAATGTTGGACCCACATCGATAAAAAGAAAGAGGGAGGGTGGGACAACAAGACTCCTCCTCCATCAAAGGATGAGGTGCATACTGCAGACATGTGCCTGCCTCATGTAAAAATGATTCTACAGAAAAGAGCAAGTCATTGAGGAGATTGAGGACAAAGACTCTGAGCTCACCTGTCTCTGGGTACTGGGTTCACCTTGCAAGCCTCCAGCAGGAAGCGGACCACCTCTGTGTGCCCTGGAAGCAGAGCAGATGTCAGAAATATATTAGCAGACATGCATGAACACATACACACACACACGCAACAGATACTTCAAACACTGCCACGCAAAAGTGGCACAAAATCATTTCAGATGAGGACAAATCTCTGACAAAGCAGTTTTACAACCAACCACGATGTTTTTCCTGCAGCTTCTGTTTTTCCATTTCCAAAACCATATTCATTAATCTGCTGCTTTAACAGCCTCCATGTTTCTTCTTTCAGACGCTGAACCTGCCGTAGGGATTTTCTTCGGGTTCCGACACAGAAGCATCAGTGAGGTCCAACACGGATGTTGGGTGATGAGGCCTGGCTCACAGTCAGGTTCAGGCTGGGCGAGTTCAACTTCATCCCAGAGGTGTTGGATGGGGTTGAGGTCAGGGCTCCGTTCAGACCGCTGCAGTTCTTCCACACTCAACTGGGAAAACAATTTCTCTGTGCACCCGCCTGTGTGCACAGAGGCATTGCTATGGTTGAAACAGGAAAGAGCCTGAGCGCCCCCCTGCTAGCTCACCTGGGAGTCTGTGTGTCATTAACGAGGCTCAGTCCTTACCGCAGCGGCCTGGGTGTGAATCCAGCCACTGCTGCAGGTCATCCCCCCTCTCCTCCTGCCTTTCACTCTCTACTGTCTCCATCCAGTAAAAAGCGGAAATGCCAGGGAAAAACCAAACAAACAGGAAAGAGCCCTCCCCCAAAGTGTTGCCGCCAAGCTGCAGGAACACTATTGTCTGACACACCATTATTGTGTCACACTGTGAAGTCATGTTTTTCATTCCATGAAAAATCTCCCTAAAACAAAACGAGTGTGTGTGTGTGTTTGTGTGTGTCTGTGTGTGTGTGTGTTACCTTCAGCTGCTGCCACATGGAGGGCTGTTCTGGAGTCATAGTCCCTCTGCTCCATGTCCATGGATGACAGTGCAAACCTACACACACACACACACACACACACACACACACACACACACACACACACACACACACACACAAATAAACAACTAACTTTATAAAAAAAAACATTTAAATAACCTTCTTGACAAAACGACAGTTTTATTGGCCATTATCACAGATTAAGGCTGAAACAGAGACGTATTCTAAGTACCAGATTTTACACTTTCACCAATTTAACAGTTCTTTCAAAGGTTCCTCTTGCTGCCACTAGAGGTCTCATGTAGCTGAGAGAGGAAAGCACCATGAAGAAATAATTACACAGTCCACCACATATTAGGGATTCCCACCACTCTTAAAGAAAAGTGACATGACCCTGTGTTGACCTCTGGGCACATTAGCAGTGTGAGAGGAGGCGAGTGTGTGAGCCGCTCACCTCCTCAGGGCAGACACGTCTCCGGTGTAAGCAGCAAACAGCAGGTTGATCACAGACTTGACCTGTGGACAGAGACAGAGACAAACAGAGAACATTTGCAGAAGGACCACAGAGTCTCCACTTTCACTACTGTTACACTACCATGTCAAAGAAAATGAATCACTTCCTATCAAACTAATGTGACACATTTCATTTCTAAGCAGCACTGGGGGGAATTTCATTATCACTCACACTCATATAAATAACCTTAGGTCGGATGTTAACACTTCATAATGACTAAGGTTCATCAAAGGTCCTTATTTAATTGTGATTTAATTGTGTGTGAAGTTACATCTACACAATTATGAAAACAATTCAACAATAACATGAGTGATCCCTGCATCAGTCAGACTTACCATCACACAGCAATGAATCATTTCCTATAAGCAAAAACCTGAAGAGTTCAATTCATACGAAGGAACATTGGAAAAAAAGACTTAAAATACCAATAGAAAGTATCTGAAAGACTATATGACACCTTTAGCGGTGTCACAGATTTACAGTTAACTGTTGCCTGCGTGTCAATTCATCTGCAGATTATTCCCTTGATTAAAATAGTGATAAATGTCCATTATTTTGTTTTTAGGCTCAGTTTCTGAATACAGGCTGTGTGCATTTCTCTGTGGACTGAGCGCTTTGATACTTTCACAGTATTAATATAGAACCTAGACCTGATCTATAATCAAACTACACATGGAAATCTGCCCTTTATACTATATTGGACCTATAAGTGATGTGTAGAATGACGGTTTGCAGGATTATGAAGGTTTTCAGGGATGTTTTAAAATCCCCAAATTCATTTTACTTCCTTTATGACACTGATTTGTGCATGATACCATCAATCAGCTCAGGATATTAAAGGTGGAAAACAATATGAAGTTAACAGGGAAAGAAAAGCGGACATGTGATGGTTAATTTTTATATATTCATGTATATTTTCCCAAAGTGAACTTGTTTAAATAGCTTGTTTGGTCAACCAAAGATATTCAGTTTGCTATCAAGCTGGAACCAGCGGAAAAAAACTGTTGCCCAAAAAATGTTTTAAAAGTTTTAATAAACTTGAATATATAAAGTAAATATATATCTATATCACATACATATATGGTTGGAACATGTAACACCATATAAAAATGTATCAGATATTTCTAATGTTTGCAAATATATAATTTTTACTATGGGTATTTCATATATGTTATAAACTTATATCTTCATATTTCCAGAGGATGTATATATGTGATTATTATGGGTGACATATATGGCAACATCACTCAGAGGTGAACCAGGGGGCAGCAGAGCCCTGATTTTCAGTCTAGAGTTCAGTTACTCTTTTAAGAAATGACAGCAAGGACCAGAGAACCAAACTATTACAGAGCATCGTTTCACCAAAATAAAAGCCTCACTCTGGTCTGAGGCCTTCACGGCTGTAGGAAGAAGAATCTGGCTCTGAAACGAGACCTATGTATTACAACACAGAGCCACACAAACCACCAAAGCAAAAGTTTAGGGCTCATGTTCCTCTGTCCCTGTTCAGGTTAGACTGAGGGTGAGGTTTTCCCTTTGTGGTAGGTTTAAGGAAATTTCTTTTGAGAATTTCTTGTTCATTTCTGTAAAGGGCCGACCACAAATTTTCCTCTCAAGCTTCAACTTTCTGTCAGAGCATGAATCAGAGTTGTTATACCGAATCAGGAAAGTTCCGTTCATATTGTTAAATGAGTTATATTGTGCTGAAGTTACAGGTCATGTTTTTAACTCTCAGTAACTGTACTGACACTGATTAATAACAGCCAGTATTTGTATGTAAACTGATGTGGGTCAGTGTGTGTGCAGTAGACGGTTTGTAAATGCTACAGAGACTGGTCAGACTGCACTGTATCACTGTCTACAGTATGTTTATTATTTTCCTCTTTTAGTGACTTTCCACTGTATTTGACTTTAGTTTTGGTACTTTACTTGTTTGTGTCAATAAACAGTCAATCACCAGCATTATTAGATCTTGGTCTGAGCATGCTGCATGCTGACTGGCTCCTTAGGTGTTGAATGACGAGGCATTTTTTCAAACCAAACCATTCGGTTGGTCCATAAGACTGAGTGACAAAAGTATGTACTGCTATGTGACCATCAAGTGCTGTTTGAACCATGAATGAGTTTGTTTCTCTGGAATGAAACACAAAAATGAAGCTGCTGCTGATGCTTTTCTGAAGTCTTGAGAGATTTGTGTTTTTATTTTTCCTCACTGCACTCTTCTCACTGGTTTAAAGTGGGCGGGGTTCAGTTAAAATAACACACTGTGCACCAATCAGGAATTTAGCAACATTGGAACCAGAATCTGACGATACAGGCGGTTGGTTCTTTGGTTTCTGATCAAACCAGGTGAGCAGAGTTTGTGAGTATTAAAGGAACAATTTGACAAATAGGGAAATATGCTTATTCACTTTCTGGTGAATGATGAGAAGATTGATGCTACTCTCATATCTGTATGTTATATATGTACCTACAGCCAGCAGCTGGTTAGCTTAGCTTAGCACAAAGACTGGAAACGGGGGGTAATACGCAGCTAGGCTGGTTCTGTCTATCAGTAACAAAACTCACCTACCAGCATGTATAATGCTCATCAATTAACATGCTATTTAATCTGTACAAAAACAGACGTGTAAAAATAATTTGCTGCATAACACCAAACAATTTGGTTTTGGTCTGGATTAAACATAAAGAGTGAATTATAAAAACAAAGCGTTGAGCTATTCCTTTAAAAATTCATGTATTTATAACATCGATTATTGCCTTCTTACTCATATTTATATTCAAGATTCAATATTCATAGGAAAAATTTTCAGGAGCTTAAATACACACAATGATCCTTTATTTACCGCTGCTAAATTCTTATAACTACTCGATGTCAATACAACTACCGGGGTGAAGGAGCGGGGCAATCAAAACAACAGGAGCATCAGTCTCTAGAGGAAAAGGTGCAGGTGGCTGAAGAACAGTTGCGGGCGCAGAGAAAGATTTTAGAGAAGAGAACAGTGCTTTATTGGATTTTATACAAGGGACACCAAGGCAACAAAAATCTTAACACCACTGTCACTGTCGAGTCTGCAAGTTCGTCATAGCCAAGAAAAAAAAACAAACAAAACAAGGGAAGACGAGTTCATGTCTTCTCTTAGCAGACAGGACAGTTCATGAGTTTATGGAGACTTTACAGATTTACAACCATGTGGACAGAGAAAAATCAAAACAAAGAGAAGTTTAACAGTCATCAGTCATGAGCTTGGAACTGTACGGTTTCATCCGCTGCAGGTTTGAGGAATTTATTTTAATTTAACATGTAAATTTGTATTTTCTCAATCTCAACAATAAATCTTTGGCAAAAAGAGACGTTTTAAAAACGACATATAAATATCTAATATCGGACCGGGACATTAGAGAACCTTACAATTCCAAGGTCACCAAATAACAATGGTAGTGATAGATTTTTAAATTTATATGCAATTTCAATGTCATAAGGGATAAAATGTATGTCCAAGACACAAATCAACATAAATAAAGACATGTGAAAAGAAAAATGAAATGAACATACAACATGGGATTAAAAAGACATTCATCAAATCAGACACAAATAAGCATGCGAGGGGGAGATGAGAATTCAAAGAGAAAAAAAAAAAAACATACATGAAAATGTGATGATTTGAATGGAAACTCTCATTACTGCATTCAAAAGCCCTTCTGCAGAGTAATATCAGACTTTGAGGAGTAAGAAAAGTTTTACCGATCACAAACTTCAAGTAACACAGCTCATTGACCCTCCAGCACCACTGACGCCATTTACCAAAGAGGAACAAATCAGATTATCCACCCTGACCGGCTGCGATCAGGTGGAGCCGGTCTCATGTCAGAGCTGGTCTGGTCCAGTCTCGTAGACATGCAGGCACTGGGTTTTAGATTTGGTGCCAGTGGTGCTGGTGGTGCTGGTGGGGAGGAACACCCTGTAGCAGCAAAGAAATAAAGACTTGCACATTGTCACAAAGGAGACTGATTCCCTTCACGCACATTTTATGACTGACTGGTCAGAAAAAAAAAAGAAGAAAAAAAAAAAAAGAAAAAAGGTTGAGACTGAGATGAGAAACTAAAATCACATCTGAGGTGATCCCACAAACTGTGGCCATGACAATACCTAAACCATAATGAAGCTGACTTCATCATCATGTAGAAAATCATAATGATATCACTGTTTAACTGTGCTGCATTTAAGCACATCCATCATCATAGTATAATTGTACATTTAAAGTTGTAATCCTTAAGATTGTATTTCTGGTGACACCTGTTCTTACTTGTTTTAATGTCTTCATATACTAATATGTTGTATTGTGACATGTTTTGTTCTCATCTGAATAACATCATAATGTGACAAATTACATGCGATGGATGCATGTGCCACTTCTTCGGTCTGACTCAGTTGCTGGCAGTTATTGCATTTACAGCAACGTGGTCACTCAGAGAATCCAGGTGACGCTGGTCTCCATGCACTGTAGTAACCTGGTTACTGTGAATCTACATGTAGCAGGTCAGTACTGGAAGCAGAAGATGAGAAGCAGCATCTTCTGCTTCCAGTACTGACCTGCTGACTTTTTAATGTGTATCTAACAGTGTCTGATATATTGAAAATCTTAAGGATTATAACTTTAATTGTCCCACTGTCAGTACTTTCTAGAAGTCCACTGCAAACTTTAGCATGAAGTAACAAGAACTATGAATAAAATCATTCAAAGTAGCCGACAGACAAACTCCACTTATACTGTGGAAAACACAGCAGGAGTAGGAAAAAGGCTTCTTGTACCTCCACACAATAAAGAGCAGAAACTTGAAAACCGAAAAAAACAAACAAAAAAACAATAACAGACGTCCATGACTTATAATAAAATAAATAAAATACTTCACTCAACAACATGACAGAGTAGTAACGGGGTATTATTGGCTCTGGCATCTATCACTTGGAGTCAAATCCACTGACAAACACCAAACACCAGTTGTACAGTTTCAACAATGATTGAGTGACAAACAGATAAATCCCCCCTCCCTTCCCCCTAGCACAGTCACAATAGAGCGACATCTAAGGCATCTGCTGACATGACATTCATGTGCAAGTCTTTCTATTTCCTGGAGGAGATAATACCATAAATTCGGAACGTCTTAAGTGTAAATTCAACACACACACACACACACACTCAGTTCTGCTGCTGAGGATCATCACTCATGTGCAGACACACACCTAAAAAGCTATATACACCTGCTGCTATGTACATTCACAAATTCAGTAAGTTGTGTCTACTGAAACAAGTCTGAATAACCTTAGTTTAAGAGTAACACTGGATACATGTTCTGTGTGTGTTTGCATGCCGACACTCTTCATCTGCAGTGGGGGTGTCAACCAATAGTCATACATTTGATTATGTAATCAAACTGTAAAAAATAAACAGACATTCAATTGTGAAAGAGCAGCGCTGAGGCGACCGTATGACGGACACTTCGTCACTGTCACTGACTGAAGATGAAACACAGGTCAAGCTGAAACCAGCAGATAATTCAACAACTGTGCAGAAATGATGGCAGAGAGTTCACAACCCAGCTCTGCTGCACAGAGAGCGAGTGTCACTCCGAGCTCCCGATTGGAAATACTTTGTGTTTTGGTCAGTAGTCAGTAGGAACCTCAAGGTTAAAAGTAAGCTACAGTTAGCCTAGCCTACCACTCCAGATCTATAACACCCTGAGGGCACATCTCGAAAAAATGCATCCATGAGCACCTGTACAAGTAGTTATGACTCTTGTGATGTTGTTTGCACTCTGCTGGACATAATGCGCAAAAATACGTCTTTAAAGGGTTCCAACCTTACGTGTTTTTAGTAAGGAATATTCACAGGTAATTTTTGGCCATTTCTGACAGCAGTAAACAAACATTTCAGGACCAGTGGACTTGATGCTTCTAAAATAATTTGATAACATCTATTTAATATCATCTTCCTCTGCTGACAGAGCTGGGCATTCTTTGTAATTTGCCAATATCATACATGAGTTTCTGTGTCTGCGCTTTCATGATGCCTTACTCTGAGGTATATAAACATGTTCTTCTTCTATCATTAACTAAAGAAGCCAAAGATCTTGTTGATGTTACATAATAGTCTAGAGGAGAAGGACATTTTTTGACTAAAGGGCTTGAAACCCTTTTTTCTAAATCAGCTTCTTATCGAGTCCAAACTTTTCTGCCAAAGTTAGAAGTTTAACTTTGATAAACTTAGTAACTAAGATATTACATATGAAATGCTTTAAGGGAAAAAAAAAAAAAAAAAAGGTATTGCCACATTAGATTAAAGCTCCCAAAACGTTATTTGGTTGAAAAAGAGGGAACGATTTAATGTTTTTAAGTTTTGGAAGCTTTGATCCAGAGCTGCATATTTTTCTTCTCTGAAGCCGTGATTGTGCCCCTTGACTGAAAATGTGGAATTGGATGTGTACACAACTGCTTTTCTGTGTTGATTTAAATCTGTACCGTAGATCAGTACCACAGAAGTGTGTGTGGTGGTGGGTGGTGGCGGCGCTGTAGCCAATCCCAGCTGACACTGGGTGAGAGGTGGGACACACTCCGGACAGGTCAACATATAGATCACAGCTCTCCATTTCTGTAGTGAGCAGCTTAATCTCCAGACTGAGGCGACCTGTGTCAACACGACCATATTTCTGTGCGCAGTGTAAACAGACAGTGAAAACAGCCTGGATGCAGCAGTCACCTGCTGCTCACAGCACGGGCCCTTACTGCTGTAACAAACAACACCCTCCACCCCCCCCATCACGCGATGCAATACTGAGTGTACACACAAACCAAAAACAAACAATCAGCCACCCACACACATTTTTTTCATCCAAACTCCACAGCAGCTCAGCCGCTGCAGCCAGCCCACCGAGGTCGTTGCTCCTGACAGTCTGACAGGTAAATGAGGACAATCGGGTCAAACGAGTCTCCAGCAGGAGCCTTACAAACAGCCTGTTGTTCTAGTCACCTCATCTCTCTCCTTTGGCTGAGCAAACCTTTATTCGCTTGTGTTGTATCAACCACAACATAATCAGAGAAATTAGCACAAATACTGGCATACTGAAAATAGAAACCGTGGTAAAACAGAACTTCCAGTTCAGTCAGCACGATGTACATCAACTGTTTCTCAACCCTGATCGCGTTTTTAGGTCCAAGTTCTCAGGACTCCAATGTCTGTTTTGTACTCCATCAATAAAGATACGGAGGGTGCACAAACAATGTTATATTTCAAAGTTATTCAATTTAGAATTTACTATTAAAAATAATTCCAGCACATACAAATGTACAGTTTTACTCCTGCAACATGTTTTGCAGATCAACTGACTTTAATGTGGGATTTCCATTTATCTCAGTGGTCTGCATTTATTCTAATGCAAACATCTGTTGGCGAGGATCATGTCTGTCTTTGAGCTACAGTTTTATCTGTCTTATTCCTTTTTAACTGCTTTATTATTTCCAAATTCAACACTTTTTATTTGTATTTAATTATCTTTTTACCTGTGTTGCTCTCATATTCTGTCTTGATGCTTTTTAAGCTCTATGTAAAGCACTTTGAATTGCCTTGTTGAAATGTGCTATAAAAATAAACTTGCCTTGCCTTACAGTGACAGGCGCTCAGTTTTTGTGTTGATTTTTCCTTTCAAGGTCCAGCATGTGAGATTGGAAATACTGTAGTGTCGTTTGTGAAGGTTTCGTTCAAGAGAACTAATCTTTTGTGAGAACGAACTGAACTGAATCACTTCCTGAAACAAGTCAGCTGTGAGCAAACGTGCAGGGATAAACTCACTGAGTGATTCAAGTCATTCGTTCACAGGAGGAATGAGGTCTGTTCAAGACAACAAATGCACAGCTGGCTTTAAGCTTCAATGATTCGACAACATTGACCTTGAACTGCAGATATATGACATTATCCAGGCTGATATGTATAGGGAAACATTTGAGATGCACCAATGGCTGATCAGTTTCTGTGTGTGGGAACACAGTCTGCGCTCCAGTGAAGCACTTAATGATTTGGTGAATGAATCTTTTAAACAAATCTTTTGAATGAACTGATTCTAATGATTCAGTAGTGAGAAAACGCCTTTGCCCATCATTAATTAGTAAAGCAAAAAACAAAAACAAAACCCTGCATTATTAAAATCCCTTCAGAAGTCAGGGCTCATTTTTAAAAAAAAATTTCAGCCAAAGCCCGAGCATTCACAGCTAACTGATATGTTAACAGTATTCTCCTTTGACCCAACACTTCCCATTAGTAAAACCCTAAGACGCACAATGTCACATTGTGATCATCTCCCACAGTACATCAGCATGTGCTTTAATGTGCTAATCTCTAGGGCCTCAGTGTGAGCTACAGTAAGCAATCATTAGCAGTCTGACAGTGAAGACTGTTGGTCTAAAGACTGGCTGCACTGAAGCTCCACACATGCAAACACACTCATACATCATTCTTTTTTTTTTTTTCCTTTTGTCAAAACAAAAATAAAATAAAACAGAATCTCAAATCAACCCTTAGCCTACATTTTAAATAGGATTCTGTCGAAATGAAAAAAACAAAACATGAAAAAAAAAAACAAAAAAAAAAACAAAAAACAAAATAACATTGCAATAAAGGGGGTGAGATGTAACAAGAGCACAACCTGTACACTGTACATCAGATCCTACACACACGCTAAGGCAACAACCAGTTGGAGGCTACAAGTTCATCTGGAATTCAGAGTAAAAACAAACAAGCAGTAACTCGTCCCATTTCTCCAACACAGACACAAACAGAAGAAGCTTCCCAGTCCGTCCACACAGTAACTGCTTCACAAGCAATAAATAATCCTCTACATAATTTATATATAAATATCAAAGGGCAAGGAAAGATGGTGGTGCTGCTGCGAGAGATCAGGTGAGGTGGGGGTGTGCGGGACAAGTGCTCCTTTTTTTTTTTTTTTTCTTTCTTTTTTTTTTTTTAAGTTTCACTCGCTGACAGTGTCCATCCTATAGACTACAGTGGTAGAGCTGTCCTGGTGCGACTCAGTGGGGGACACCTTTTTCCACAGAGGGGCTTTCAGAGCTAGCTCTTGTTGGAGGCTCTCGTAATCCATGGGTCCGAAGGAGAGCTGCTGTTTCAATCGACACGGATAACAAATTAGTCTCACTTCCTCTGTGGTTGTGTATGTGTTTTGTGTTTGTGTGTGTTTTCCTGTAACATATTGTGAGAAACAACTTTTCATTAGCGTGGGACTTTGGTTAATGTTAGCTGATGCACCAAAGAACTTTTTGTTACACACACATTTAGTTCATTTAGCTTCTTTTGTGTGTTGCTGCAAAGTGAAAAATGTCCACTTTAGAAAAGGACCCGACTAGAAAGAAAAACACCAGCAGGGAATTCAGACAGAGGCAGCGCAAACAGATTGAGGAGAAAAGAGGATGAGGACTGTCCTGTTTTGCTCTTCATCTGACATTGTATGTTTTTCCCTTCAGGTGTACTCTACAGTTATGGAGCTAAATATCAGCTAGAAATCAGCAGTGACCGCAGCGTCACCCACGTTCTTGAGATGGTATCAGTACTGTATCTGATGAGAGAAATGTGTGTGGTGTTTGGTTCTTTCTCCCCTCACAACACGGTGCTGTGCGTCCTTACCCGCTGGTCCCCTCCTTCTCTGCGAGGGTCGTGCTTCTTGGCAAAGTGTCTCAGGTTGTCGTAGTTGTGGAAGTTGAAAAGTTCCACGAGGTCCTGGAACGAAAAGATGAACACATGAATTTACTCTACGCTGTTAAAGTTGACATTTTTCCTGATGACTGATAGTTGAAAAGCACATGAGCACATGTTTTCTTTAAAAGAAAAAAGGAAAAAGGAGAGACAAATAGGAAATAAGTAATCTGATTACATGAGCGGCAGAGGCGGATGTGTTTACTGAGAACTTATCTGGTCTTCAGGTAATCATTAGTCAAGCATCACCTACTGATTAAGCAGGTCAAGTTACTCTGAAAGTATTCCAGCCAGGAACACTCAAGGACACTCTTGCACAATTTCCAATCATTAATAGCCTTTTTTTTTTAACCCATGATGCATTTTTGTTTGTTAAGTGTAACACATATTTACAAATAAATCTATTTACACCACTGGTTTAGAAAAACACTCAATACGGTGATTCTGATTGATAACACTGTGCTATTCACTAATATGAAAGTTATATTTTCAAAGGTAAAAACTTCCACCTGGGCCTTTACGTGTTGTTCATTCAGACAAAGCAGATATTATTCTTGGATCTTGAGGCACTGAGTGACTGTGTCATTTGAGATACAGTCCATAACAACTTAGCACATAGTGATGCATTATTAATGTAAAGCATCAACATGGTTGGTGCAGTTATTCCTAGTCGGGGCTCTGATCATGTTTTCACTCTGCAGTGATCTCCTGTTCATACCGTGCAGAACTGTATTCCTCTGACAGAGTTGCCCAGCTTGTCCAGTGGAGGTGACCAGCACATGATGCCCATCACGTTGGGTACAACCAGCAAGATCCCGCCCGCTACTCCAGACTTGGCCGGCAGACCGACCTACAACAGGGAAAACAGACGGGTTACATAATGGAGGATCGGCTCTGTGTGTCTGCAGTATCAGCAGGCAACAACGCAAAGCTGAAAATGGAAACAAGTCAACAATAATCGGAGGAGGCTGATTCTTAGCAGAATTCCTCAGGAACATGCCTCCTGTTTTTTTCTGTGATATAAATACTGAAGAATCTTTGCAAAATGTACATAACTGAATAATTTCAGTTTTTCTTTCAATCATCTTTATTTTGTTTGAAGTTCAGCTAAAATTAAAAAGGTAAAAAAGAGGTTAATATAAACAAAATTATTTCAGAAGAGAGGCCACTATTTCGACCAGTCCCTTGTTTCCAAAATCCAACTCGAACAGAATGAACGAAAATGAATGAGCACATGAACGCTGTAGATATGTACTCTCACTTTCTGCTGTTGGAGATATGATCGATATCATGAGAAAGTGAAAGGCTGAAGCTGCTCACACGTCACTCGATCTCTCAGCACTTCTGTCATTAAGACGTGTCTCATTAAAATAAACAGTCTTATCACAACAAACACCTCAGCTCAGACAGACCATGTGACACGACAGCTTTGCTGTGCCAAGGCACATTATGTGCTCCACAGTATTGTGGAGGTATAATCTGCTTGTATCAAGACTTGATCAGTTTTCTATGTACAAAATGTTTCAACGGTATTTTTAGATTATTTCAAAGACTTATTAGATGTACATGTACAACATGACTCCACTGGGCCATGACATTATGTGGGTTGTACAGCCTGAGCTTAATCATGCTAATTCCTCCTAGAGGTACTGTAAATGAGACGAGCATCAAGTTTGACATGAGGTCGTCTCACCTGGAACCAATGAGGACGTAGAAGAGCAGATCGACTGTTTGTAAATCTATGCCTAATTTATGTATAAACTTCTTATTATGTTCTCCATCTGAGGCCTATTAGTGTCTCATCAGTGTAATGGTACTGCTTCACTTCACCTCTTTGAGTCTTTCCTACTAAAAATATCTGTCCCTACTCGACCACATCAGCTCTTACTTGCCATCTTGTGAAAATGTGTCTTCTACTTACGTGGAAGGCGAACTGTCCTGAGAAGTCGTACATGCCGCAGGAGTGCATCAGACTCAGGGTGTTCCTCACCGCCTCCGGGCTCAGCACACGCTCACCCGTGATTGGGCAGATCCCACCGTTAGCCAGGGTGGCTGCCATGACGCTGGCGCTCTCACAGGTCACCTCAATGGAACAAAGCTGGGGGAGGGGTCACATAAAGGACAGTTTGTATCATTACTCTATTAGAATTTTCAGCACAGAGAGTCAAGTCTGACATGAGCAAGGTGAAAATGACGGTACAGTGGTGGCAGAGGTGACAACAAGCAACAAATTAAGTGAAAATGCAGCTTCCATACAGAGCACAAGGGCTCAATGAATGGTTCGATGAAAACTATGTGACTTAAATGGTGCAGCTGCAGTAATGACCACACCTAAATCCTTTTGAGACTCCAACACCATCATCCAAACACCAAACGAGAGAATATATTTTTAGAAGAAGGATGTTTGTCTTTGACATTGTTTAAAATGTACATAAAAGCATTATTTTTTTAAAGCAAGAATACATGCATTTAATTTAACATACTGCTGTGTCAGTGCATGACAATTTGTCAGTGATTGCAGTTGTTCAGATTGGGAGGGGTGTGTACATTCATGTTGTTCTTATTCTCCCACTTCTGTTTCTTGCTTGTTTTTCTTCTTTATTATTATTTGTTTGTCTTTGTGTGAATGCTGTTCATTCATTCATCCTGTACAGAGTCAGAGGCCTGAAGAATCTGTGATAAGGAGCATTTAAGTGCTACTGGAGGCTCAGGGTTGAAACAACACCTCACTAAGACATGTTGGGTTTTCCTTTAATTTGCCACCTGTTTATAGTTAAGAAACTATTTGTAGCATTAACAGAAGTAAAGATGTTAAAAAACTGAATAAAAGGGAGATGTGACCGATATTGGTAGAGAAGTAGGAACAGGATCTGTCACTCAGGGACAAAATCAAAAACAGAGGAAGAGAAGAAACAAAAAAGTAAAACAATAATCTGCTGTTTAAAATAAAATGAGCTGAAAACTGAAAATAAATAACATAAATAAATAAATAAATCAGCGCTCCACTCACTTGAAAGTAGAAGTCCAGTACAGACGTCATGTCTGTCCCCTCTGGGAAACACTGCAGAGAAACAACACACAGATGAACACATGAACATTTATCAACTACTGTACATTATTGTGTTGCTGCAGCTCTATATAAGGGAGTAAGGAAGAGACGACCATATTTTTAAGGAAACTCTACTCAGGTCAAAGATGAGTAGGACTTTTAAAAAGTTATTAGAATCCACTGAAAGTAAATGTAAACTAAAAAGGAGAATCACAATGAGCTGAGGAGCAGAATAATCTTCAATATCTTTACAGATTGTAATTATACAATCTAATTTATATGGTGAATAAAATCACTGATTGGGCCTCTGGCAACAACTTCCTGATACAAGCTTTATTTATTAATAGTGCCCCACAAAAAGTTCAACAGCTGTAATTTTGTGTTTCACAACATGAAATTTTATTTAAAAAGTAACAAATATAGTTTATGCACGCCTCATTGAGAGATTTGTTTTAAAAAAATACATCAAAGCTTATTGTAATTCCACTGGATCAGCTTCACCCTGCATCATTACACTCTGACTTCTTCCCTTGTGTCCCTCCCTTCTGGATCCATCCTTAAATGTAAACCAGATACAGAGCCAACCCCAGGTCTTATCTCTGAGCTGCTCAACAGATACAATCTGACAACATCAGAAAAATCTAACGATATGTGGGAGGAAGATGAAGAGGAGCTTTGGAAGAACACATGCAGTAGTCCACTCTGCAGTTGGGCAGAGAGAGAGAGAGAGAGAGAGAGAGAGAGAGAGAGAAAAAAGTCAACAAAGTCATCAATCAAGTGTGACTCATCCAAAGTCAAACCTTTTTTTCTTTCAGGTAGTAGCCGATGGCAAAGTTCCTGTCCCCTGACTCACGCTCTGACTGGAATCTGTCACACAAAGAGCAGAGCACTCCCATTACATGGAGGAAGGAAATGTTTGCACTGTGAGTGTGTGTGTGTGTGTGTGTGTTGGAATTTCATCACCCCACCCCTCATGTGTACTGTTCAACCAGAGATGTCATGCTATCATGTGATCAAACTGCAACATGAGACCCAGGACTTGGTCTTTTTACAGAAACATTGTTAGCATGTTGTGTCATCATCACTCATGCACATGCAAGTGACCTTTACGGCACAGATGCCAGCTCCAAACCTCATCCTAAATATAAGGTCAATTACAAATCAATTGAGAAAATAACCACTTTACCTTTTAGCCGTAGCTAACGCCAATTAAACTGAGAAAGTTTACAATTTAAAATACTTTAACCTGCTGTGTATGACCATACTGCACACATTATTCCAATAACATATCTGTGTTGCCTCTGTTCTGACTGAACTGACAAACATTAATGGAGGTAAAAGGTCCTGAGCATTCAAGCTTCATCACCAGCCTCACTGTTAGCTACTCTTTGGTTTCATTCATTTGTGTCAATCTTTGTGTAAGGAATACTTTGCTTTTGAACAGTCACATCAACTAAGCAGAGACAATTTTAAAGCCTGGCTTTATTCAAGCAGTGATGACTGGGAAACTGTTTTTAAAAGGTCCCATATTGCATAAAAAGGTAATGTCCATGTGTTGTTTGATTATAAAGCAGGTCTAGGTTCTATATTAATACTGTGAAAGTATCAAAGCCTCAGTCCACAGAGAAATGCACACAGCCTGTATTCAGAAACTGAGCCTTAAAACCAGCCGTCAGGACTTCTGGAACTTTGTGATGTCACAACAAGGCAGTCAGCGCTCTTAGCCATGCCCAATGCCCCGCCCATCTGGACCCACCATCCAACCTTGCAGGATTTGGTTTCTCTGAGTTTTTACCTGAAACCTGCTATATTTTTATTGGATCACTCAGAAAACAGTCAGCCAATCAGAATAGAGGCTCAGAGCCTCCTCTCTTCTGATTGGCTGACTGACCTGTTGTTACTAGAGCTCCAGAGAGAAGCCTGAGAGAGGAGATGTAAAACTACATTGAGATGGTTTTTGGTTCTTAAAACGATATTATCAACACTTCAAATAAAAGTGTCAAATATGGACCTTTAGAAACAGGATTAGGTGTGATCTCTAGCTCCTGCTGGGCTTCTTGTGTGTGAATGCAACTATATGTAAACTACAGGGCCAGGTAAAAGGTGTGATAGAGGCAGGTAAAGATCAAACATGGCAACATAATGCACATGTTAAACTGCTCTGCTATGGTGTAAACACCATAACAACAGTTAACCCACACATGTTTTCACTTAACATGTAGGTGTGTACAGATTGTGTGCACACAGCTTTGTTGCATCTGTTAGGGTGGAACAACTAACTAAATGATTACTATTAAAATTGTGACATGACAGCATGTAATTCAAGCTGGAGGAACTGACAACACCTGTGAGACTGTGCCTAGGCTTAGTTTCACATTCACAGGTATTGGAGCACATCACCTTGGACCAGTTTTGTGGTCCTCTGGCGATTGAAAGAATGGATGTAGCAACTCTAAAGAACAGATTTAAAAGATTTAAGGAACTCACGTGGCGTTGCTGAAACCCACATACTCGTTTCCTGCCATGTTTTTCAGAAAGTTCATGACCTGGAGGGAAAACAGGGAGGAGAGTTAAGAGTGACGACATGATCGACAGAGCTTCATGATACGAGGTTAAATTCTGTGGATGGTTAGTGGCCTGTGTGGTGTCAAAGTGTCTGGAGAGCATTTCTACATTTACAATAGCTGTGCCCCCATTTCATACTACAAACTGACCATAAACAGCATGAAATATAGTGTCATAGTAAACTGATGCTAATATTATTATAAATGAAATATTCAGTGTGTCCCAGCTCCACACTAATACTCAATGTATATAGTACGCCATATACTAATTGTCTTAGTGGGCCCTTTTGTAAATTTCTATACAAAACAGAACAAAAAAGACACTCTTCCTTTTTCTTTGCACATTGCACCCTGGGAAAAAAATCTACTAATGCTGAATGATATACAAAAAAAATCATATTGCAATAATTTTTTCCGATATTAATATTATGAGTCACGATTACAGTTGGTGTGGTCATTTTTAAATTTCATTTTCACTGGAAAAATATACATAAAAGATGATGATGTGCTTTTTGTTAGAGCCTGTATAAAACAAACATGTCCCTTTACATCTGAAGAGTATGATCTATAGGTCACAGCATCTGCGTATCAGCACAACACTTCATTTTACTGTCTGTTGCGACACATTTTAATTTTATCAAAAAAAACTACAGCTCCTGCGATTTGGATATTGCACTTGGCCAGATTGTGATTTCGATAACTGACTGAGTGACTGTTTTTAAGGACCTTTCTAGAGTGAACAAATTCAAAACCTGCTTATAATTTGTGTGTAATATGGGACTGGAACACAGCTTATGAACTTAGGGAAAAGAAGTATAAAGAGAAAACAAGACTATAGTCAGTTCACAAGCATAATGTATAATATCTATATGGATCACTTTGTCTCTTTCACAAAGAAACAGTTAACTCAGTGTGTGACTTCTTATACTTACATAGTCAAATTTTTCTGCGTTGCCTTCACCTTGCTGAGGACAGAACAAAAGAATACGGGGTTAGCTCCCTTCGTTCACCGAGACATGTTGCAGAGGATAAGCACAGCATCATAAAGGTAACACTAAAATGATAAGACTACTGCTGACAAATTAAAACTACAGAATTAGAAGATGTGACTATTATTACAAATAAAATAAAATCACATGAGCTTTGCCAGAGAATTATACAAGTACAGAATATTAATAAGATTGGCTTGCAAATAGGTGACAAAGAGGCAAGTCTTTTGGAGTTAAAGGGAGATTTAGTAGACATGTGAATTACCAGTTTAGCCAGTTAAAGAAAAACATGTCTCACCAGTACATCTCACTGATTCCAAATATAAATATCATTTTCAGTATTAATTCATATCTGAAAGAGTGAAAACTAGAATACACCAGAACAACTCTCACTGTGTGCATTTCTACATAAAGTATGGCTCCACAGAAATGTGGGTGTATGCAGGCAAGTTTGTATTATGGGTTACCATAATGCGGGTGTGCAGGTGTGTGTGTATGTGTGTATGTGTACTGTAGGTGAACACGAGTCATCTGTGCAAAGAGCCTGTCGGCCAAAAACAGTGGGGAGGGAAGGAGAGGAGGGAGGAATGGTCTTCCTCTGAGAATAAAATTCACAGCTTGTAGCTCAGTGTACATTTATCAAGTCACAAGCTAGATGATGCTGCCTATTACCACAGAGAAAACACAGCAGAAGAGAAAAAATGGACACGCATGCACATTTAAAGTGCTATAACATTTCACATGAATTCAAAATACTGAACTGTTTATGTTTTGGATGGTTTTTAACTTTACATAAAAAAAAAGAAAGAAAAAAGGCTAATGCTTCATGTGTGACTGACGTACATTTCAACTTCTACACTTTACTGTGCAGAAGAAAAAAACATAAGTGACACTGATGGAGGTGTTAAAGAGTCACTAAATGGGGTTTTTACAGAGCTGATTGGAGGAGAGAGAGAAGAGGGAGGATCAGGGGGATGGGGAGAGTGCGAGGAGATAGATATGGAAAAGGAAGAAAAAATTACCAACGTCATTTGACCTGCAGCAGCAGTCATTATTTCCCACAGTTCCTACGTCTGGAAAATATGCAACAACATACAAAAACAGCAACAACATGTAGCCTTCAAGCACCATGTAACAACAGTGTTTTGGGGCAACCAGCCCATAGTTTTCCCCACCGAGGTCAAAGCTAAGAGGGCAACCCGACCAATAGCTTGACATTTGAGCTTCAGTTAAGAAAAACAAAAACAACACATTGAGACACAGGTGACAATGGTGAGCGGATGTGGACACAGACATACACAATATCGTCTCAACAAATGTGAGGTGATCGTCTCTGGTGTTTGGGTGTGATTTATGTGGCTCAGTAAACAGTTTGCTGTGTGATGAAAGAATGACCTGTACATACAATTCTCCACATGCTGCTTTTTGTACAACCCGCATCATAAATCAATAAGAAAAATGTTGGACAACCTGTTTTACTTGACTAATGCAAGTATAGAAGTAGAGCTATTGCGAGGCTGGATATGATATTTGAGAGTATGTATGAGAGCAGAAAGGGGAGATTTCCTGAAGGGGATGACCTTCTGCTTCATCTTAGCCCAGTGTACATCTGCTCGCACCACTAGCGGCCATGTTTAAACAACAGTTCAACATTTTAGTAAAAATCCTTACACACTTTCTCATGTGTGTGCAAACAGTTGGAGTGCAGACATGTTTAGCTAGTTTAACGTAAAGGCTGCAAGCAGGGCCTAACTGTACATAAACAGAAATATTAAAACTGTAATTTGTGGTTATGTGTTGGAACTATTTCTTGGGAAACAACCACAGCAACCAAGTGTTTCTTGCTTCTTTGTCTTGTTGTTATAGTGAGGTTGCCAGGTTTGGTACCATCATGCCTGTACAGACACCAAAACCCACTCACCAACTTTATCTTCCAACCTGTGCTAACAACAATGTAAAAAAGCACAATGTCTACAAAACAAAAAACACTAAAACCTCAAATTGTTATTTTTATATTCCTGGTTAGCTGTTTCCCCCCTGTTTCCAAGCTAGCTAAACACATCCAGACTCCAAACAGCACTATGAACACAATATGACCTTATGCAACTTTTGATCAAAGAGTTGCCTACAAGGTAACATTAACATTCATTTGGAATTGTGTTCCTGGCTCATTTTGGTCTCCATCAACTCCTAATGGAAATATGTGGCTCTTTAGCTGCTGGGTAGGTGGTGGCTGAAAACATGATTGTTGAGAGAATGAACCTGAGATGTTATGTAGAGACAAGGAAGCTGCAGAGTCGAGTGGTAATTCTTTGTCATTTGGTATTGTGTCGCAACCCTTTAACATCCAAGACAGATTTCATCCAGTTGCTGACATAAAAATACTGATGGGTGCAGCTTGGACGCACCAGCATGACATTGGTATCAGTTTTCTTTTCTGAGAGAAAGCAAGTATGTGTATTTCCCAAAATGTTGAACTATTTAAGAAACCAACTTACTCACTGCTGTCTGTGATCACTCTGATTATGTTTCATTTAACACAATTCACTCTATGCTCTATAGAATGCTGCAGGAATGAATCCTCAAACCCATAAATTAGTTAGTATTTTAGCACTTCTGGTTCCCGCATCCTTAAGTCTCTGGGTTTTATTCACGGGTTTTTAATTAGAGGCCTGAAATAAGGTCTGTGGTTAAAACAAGTTCAAGGTGTTTTCATGTTTTATTCTACAATATAAAAATCAGTCAGTAAGTACTCCAGTCCTGATTTCTTGAAGCTTTTACGTCTGTTAAAAAGGTCGGTTGCTAACAAGTGACTAAATGAGACTACAGAGGTTGTCGAGGACGTTAAACGTCATCACGCTGATTATGAAACCCGATCTACTCACCAGTCCACCTTTACAGCCAAGAGGAAAGGCTTTTGTAGAAGAGGTCAGAGCTAAATCAAACTACAAGGTGAAGTTTAGTGGTGGTGACGATGAAATCATGTGACCGTGGTGTAGTTGGTTTATAGCCTAGCATTAGCTTTTTACTTCTGCTGATTGTATTTAGGCTTCAAACATCATGAAGTGGTGTTCATTAGTGAAGATGATCCTGCAAAACCTGTCAGGATCAGAAACTGCTGTTTATTTTCTGCAATAATCCAAAAGCCCATGTAAGAATCTCGTCTTGGCCTACAAAAATACATCATCCCTGCGGCACTCTATATCTTTCTACTGTTTGTCACATGTGAGGTCACTAAATGCTAACTGGCTAACCAGCTGGAAATCCTGGACAGAATATTTTGTGATTTCATACTTTTCAGTGTTGAGCAGCAACAGAGACAAAGATGTCTGAAGGACAGCATCTGATTGTCTTGTACACTTTACTATAACAAAATAAAATAAAAATCACAGAAAGGAGCAACAGTTGGCTTCTTAAAATCACTGGTTAAAGAGCAGATGAAAACATGGCTAAGACAAACCAGATATTTGTGTTGTATTCCAATGTGGGCAGTTTAATACTGGTAAAAAAAAGTTTGGAGTTCTTCCTGTCAGGGTCCCCAGTGCTCTGCAACCAATGTTTTTAATAAAAAACTACTAGAAAGAAAAGAATGTCTTCTCACAGTTAATGGTCCTTCACTCGATTATCCATTAATCTCTCGCCGCACAAGCATAAACGCTGCTGAGCGGCACGATGGAAAGATTTGTAGTGCTTTGTTTAAAAATTAACCATTGTGGAGCCGACTTCAGAAACATGCCAGAGTGAAATGTACTGTGACAACTGTGTTGTCATCTTTGTTGTAAATGCACAATAAAAGCAGTTTACACACACATCTGGGCCCTTGTTGGGAATTAGAGAGTACAACCACTTGCTCCACTTAACTTTTTTATTTATTCTAGCCTTTCCTCAACACATAAATCTCCTAGCAGTCTTTGCTGACTTCTGAGCCAAAAGTCACTTTTGTTTTGTAAGAGTATTGTATTGTAATTGTTTTGATGATCATCATAACATGGGATTTGTGCACTGTAACGACTATTCACTCCGGCATATATATATTTGTTTTAACTGTATAACAACAGCACAATCTTTAATCAATCTTTATAAAGGCGACAATCTGCAGATAAATGCCTGTGTCTGTGTCTGACTGATTTCCCTGTCTACAGAATCTAGATTAAACTAGAATAATATTAGGCGACGTAAACTCAAGTTAAATAGGTTTGTGTTTGCAAGGTGATAATGCACAAGAAGCACAGGTGAAGAAACTCAATTTTAAAAAGGAAATGGGATTTCAACAACACATGGACACTGAAAACGCACAGGTCCCACACCTTGAGACTTGTGACAGAGCTAATCTGTGGCCTATAAGTACAAGAAACCCAAACTCAAAATCACCATCACACAGGCCCCATGCTTCAGCATGCTTCTTAATACATAAAAGGATGACGTTGACACCATCTACAGTTTAATTACCCTCTCTAGTTGTCTTATTCTCAAATCAAATAGAAACTAATATGACACCTCCATTTGATAGCACATCAGTGAGAATGCAACAAGGATGAAGCACATCATTAGTCATTCAATTCAGTTCAAAGTCTAAGTGCTTGGCACAAAAGCTGGGCATAACAGAGGTCACCTCTGGAAGAAGCTGCAGTCAAATACCAGTCCTTGATTTTGACAGTTTTGTAGCAATAAACAGATAATGTGTCAAAAATTGAAAAAAATGAGAAGAAGTTGATTTCAAGATACTAAAAAGTTAACATTTGCAATATAGTCTTGCTGCTGTGAGAAGCAACAGTAAAGGTGTGTACTAAAAACTTTTATTGCGAGTGTGATCATCAACAGCTGCCAATGTGAAAACCAATCAACAAACCTGGGGTTTAAGCCAGGTTTAATCTTTTCTTCTTTTTGAGTGACCCTGAGCTGCTGCTTGTTTCATTTGATGGATGACGGGTGATTTATCTTTGTGACTAATGAAGCCATTTAATTGTCATTCTGTCTTCACACCCAGTTACCTAAGAGAAGTTCAGATCAGTTGATACGAAACTCTGGTGAAAAAAAGACGGGGAGGATGTGTCAGGTGAGATCTCATTTGACTTCCTGTCTATGTTCATGAACAGACCGTCGCAGGTCTGTGTGCACCTGCGTTTGACTCGCTCTCTGCCCAGGTTATTTTCAGCAGGGACAATAGCAATGTGTGTCCTGAGGTGGCTAAGCCCGCTTTAGGATAGATTAGCACAAGTCTTAATGACCGCAACAAGACGTATGGCATTGGACTAAGCTAGTGACCTAGAAATACTTGAAGCTGAGTCAAGAGTCAGAAATATGTGGACACACAATACTTATACTTACTGAAGCAGTAACAACACCAAAGAATAATAACTACAAAGATTTCTGACTGGGTGTTGTGAGTCATCTAGAGTGGGTTTCATTGTGTTCAAATAAAAGTAAGTTAATTAGTCTTATCTGCTACCAGTGTTTGATTTAACCTTCATTTTATCTCCTCGATAAAACTCAGCTCAGTGATACCCACCATACAAGGAATTTTCTACCTAAGGATTCAGTGGAAATGACACACAGACTGGACATTAAAAACACACATGAAGAAAAAAAAGAGAGTGCTTCTGCTTTTACCTTTATCAGTGAAGTACAAACAATAGCGCCAGCATTCACCATGGGGTTGTGGGGCTTATCTGCAAAACAACAAGAGCTGGGTTAACACTCTGCAGAGAGTCAAAGTGTAAATGTTTAAAGACTGAGAGCTCCGTCTATAGACAGATCAAACAATAACAATCACATCCATGTAGAGCACACACTGACGCAGGATACTACAGATAATAATCTCATAATAATATCCGTATCACTGGTATGTTGTGTGAAGTAAATTGATCTTTGTACCTACATCCAGAACTAACTCTTAAAACAGTGGCTATATTACAAATCCTGCTGAGAACAAAAAATAAGTGATTTCTGTTTTTCTGTCCAGGCAGCAGAGTCATGTAAATGTGTCTCTTTGAGTAGCACAGTGTCAAAAAGGATCAACTACTGTGGAGACAAAGATGTTTCTTTTTGTTTGTTTTTTTTTTTGAAAAGGAAAAAAATTTAACATTATAATTAGGATATAGTGAAGTTGTGTATTCCTGTTAGTCAGCTGTTAAGTGACTTCTGATATATTCCCTCTGCTGGAGAGTTAAACCGAGACACAGCAGCTGTCTTCCATTTCCATAACTAACCCTGAGAGGAGTTTACTTCCTCTTTCCATTTGATGTAGAAACTCTGGCCCACACTGGGTTTTCCAACATAGAGAATTACATTAAATTTCATGCTGCCTCCAGCTCTGGACAAACTCTGAATGGACGTCTTTATGGAAATCACCATTTTCTAACAAGCGTTGCACCCGGTGGATTTCTGTCATTTGTAACTGCACCTGCGGCATGCTGATGTAGTGGCGTTGTATTGTAATCAGCACAGTGCACCGGGAAAGGCGCTGCCAAAACTGTCAAAGAGAAAGAAAAGAGCTGCAACTTCAGAGCTTCTGTTTATTCCTACAGCAGGAATGTGTCAGGCAGTGGCGCTCTGATCTTTGCTGGCTGTTCCAACAGGTGAATATTGTTTCTTCAAGCACGTCCAGTTTCTTAAATTCACGTTACATCCCTACTACATTACTTTAAGGCGAATTGATGAGGAGAATCATGAGGGCAGACATTACAGGCAGCTAAAAAGTAATAATTCATGTTACTGACAAGATGTTTAAATTTGCCGGGTCTGAAAGTCGTGTACAACCAGTGACGGAGAGGATCAGAGTCAGAGCAGAGGACAGGACGAGGAGTCAAGGTGAGGGGAATCAGGTGACCAGTCATTAGGAGTGTTTAACGCAAAGCCAACATTTACATTACTGTAACGTCACTTTTTATTCATCTTGTTTTAAACTACAAATCCCCCTGAGACGTGGAATAATTCAAGTTTGTGTATTAATATCAGCTAAAGACAACAACAACAGAAAATCATGTCCCAGTAAAAATCATTTCCAAAACATTGTCCTTTGTTGCAGATTTTGGGACAGTGTTTGTTTTCCATCACTGTATTTTGGAAAAATGACAAAAGTATTGAGCTGGTATGGATTTAATAAATTCTAGAGACACTAACAGTGAATTTTTAATGTGACACAAAGGCAAAGCTGTGTAGTAAGGCTGAAGAAAAGATTATTTTAATTCTTGATTGATCTGTCAATTATTTTTTTAATTCATAATTATAATTTTAAATCATTTAGTTTGGTCTTTACAATGTCATAACATTGTGAAAAATGCACAAGGTGATGTCTGCTAATTTGTTATAGTTTATACTGTCCTTTGGGAAATTCCTCAGCTTTCACTAGACCTCTGTACACATGCACATACACACATGATCAGGATGGTACCACCTCTGCCTCATTTTAAGCCGGGAAAAACCCTGATGAGACGATGAGAGGGGAAGCCTTCCTCCCTCCAAGATCTAAAGGAGGTCAAGTACAGCTCTCACATCACCTACAGCTCCTCACTGGTGTGTGATCGCCTTACACAACATGGGGCCACGGGGCCATCCTGGCCAACGCAAAGACTAAACTCCCACACAGGATGTGATGACAGGATGGCTCCAGTTTAACCACCAATCTGGGGATTGTGGCATTTCCTCTGACAAACAAACTGCAACTTGACCCTGATAATTGTAAGATTTTGTTTCATATCAAAATGTAACATAGGTGAGTATATATAATATAAATATCATCCAATAATTCATGTGATGGGCAGCGACTCACATCTTCAGTTTAACCTAACCACGTTTATTTTCACAATGCTGTTAAAAAAACATTTCCACAAATTCTTCCAGTGTCAGCATCTGACTCATTCAGTTGGCAGCTCAGTCACAGCTCTCTCTCTCTCTCTCTCTCTCTCTCTCTCACTGGTGCTAGATCTAGACCGTCCATGAGCACTGATGAGTCACTATCTGGGTTGGTAATGACAGACTGTCCCTAGCCCTAACCCTCTTAGTGTCCCTGGGTTCATGGGGGAATGTAGCCAACAATAGCAGTTTACATACATGTGGGAAAAATACTAAAAATGTAGTGGGGGCAGGGGGTGGGGGGACTGGAGGAGCAGCATGCAATTTTCCTCTAATAAACTGTCAACATTTTTCAAGGGAGGTGATATAACAGGTCGTCACTGGCAGTTTGCACATGGGTGATGCAATTTTACTCCTCACTTTTATTTAAATACTAACAATTACAGGAAACACTAACTTCCTAAACACTGCCAAAGCCCTCTGTCATCGTCATCGTCATCATCATCATCATCATCATGTCTCCACTGCTATATTTTGTGTATGAGCTGATGAGTTCTTCAGAGGGAAGAAGTCAAGAAGAAAAAAAGAAAACTCTTAAGTCTCACCATCTTCGTTCAGGAAGAGCTTATTAAAGCGCAGGCCACTGGGCTCCTTTCCAATGAAACTGTGCACGTACTCTGTGCCGTGGTCGTGCACAGCGACAGCATACTTCAGAGGCTTGACACAAGACTGCAGACAGAAGGGGACCTTGGTGTCTCCTACTGTGTGTCTGCAAAAGACAAAAAGATAACAAGTTAACTTAGCAGGCAAAGCAACTGCAACGTCAGTGATGATAAACAATGACAGAGAACAGAGTAAAAAAAAACATGGAGGAGATATGAAAAAATAAACACTTGTTAAGAAGATTGTCAATGAAGTTTATGGTTTTCCAGGAATACTCTTCTTTTATCCTGAATGTCACAGCATGAACAGAACTACATGATCTGTTCAGTACTAGTGTTATCTTTATGACTTCCTGTTACACAAACATAACAAAATCTACACACCGTTTACAGCTGCGTATCAGAGAACAGAGTCATTACACTACACTTGTGAAAAGTGTTTCAGTGTGCTAGTTTTGTTTTTACTACGAAACCCAAAACCTGTACATTTTATTTATATATGATATTGAATTGAACACATATACTGGACATTGTAAGCTTCACAAAGAGAGCGTTAATTACACTGAATGTAAATGCCATTTGGGGATTATTTAACCAACACCCAGCAAGAGGCAAAGAGATGCCATTATAACACTAAGTGAGGAACATCAAACAAGACCAGGTCAAAAACCAAGTACATGGCTGGACTGTGTCGTATTTTAATTCAGTCTAGAGTATCAGCTGGTTTCAGCCCTTTCTTTATCTGTTTGCTTCTCTCCTCCTCTCTGTGCTCACATATACAGTATTTTAGTACATCTGAATTCACAATAAAGCTTTTCTCATTTACATGTCTTTCTGTTTCTATTGTCAGATAATTGAACAACTTTGAAATAGAGACTGAAACGCTGCCCATTTAGACCGCATGGTAACTTCCAAGCTGCTGCTCTGCTGCTGCTAAAATCCTGATTTTATAACCACGACATCGTCTGACAAAATCATCACAAAGACTGAGCTGTGATTTCAGCTGTATTTACATGCACATGATCACTCAGAGAGAAAGTTAGAGGCTCATTCACATCAGCTACTGTGCAGTCAGCAGAGAGGTGTGTCGGCGGAGGGAAAGCCCGATCTCATGCTTGTGGAGCAATACTGGCAACTCTTCTAAGAAAAGTTTTGTCAAAAAGTCCCTTGATTTGTCAATAGATGCTTTTTTGAAAATAAGTTGTTAAAGGGGTCTTAAGTCATTAAATCTCGTGACAGAGGTGCCAAGTTGGGGACACAGCTTGGTCGCTTCAAATCATTTTGAAAGAGAACTACCAATGGTGTAACTTCATCACTCAGTCGACAATATTTGCGTTTATAGGGCCGAACCCACCGTTGCAGTCCAGCCAACAAACATTAAAGTGTTAAGCTAATAATTAAAAAAAAAGAAAGAAAAAAAACCATCGCAGTGTTTTAAATATTTGGTCCACCTCATGAGTCTAGATTCAGAATTTATTATTTGTCACATACATAGCTGAATAGTAAAATCTGGTTGCTTCCTAACTGAGCAACAGCGAATAACGATTTTAAACAGACAAACAATGTCTCACCTCTGTCCGTCGACTGTGCACAGGGAGACGGCCCACAGGTCAGGGTTGAATTTGGCAAGCTGAGGAATGTAGTCTGCAACCTGAAAGAGGTGAGGCAGTTGACAGAGAGTCAGCACGGCAGCAGCGGTTCACCTTACATCTCTGACGTCTGCTGAGGCTCATGTTACAGCGGAAAGCTAACGCCAATACACAATAACAAGACTGACAGAGGTCAACTCCTCGTCTGAGGGTCCCACCCTCCGACCTTCATATCACAGGAGCTACTGCAGGACAAAGTGCTCTGTTTACTTCTGTGTCTTTCAGCCGTGCACAGTACAATGATAAAGATATTTCATGGTGTGGATGCAGGTCATTTACACATAAACGGTTTCTAAATCAGCTGGCTGTGGGTGGATGCTGGCTTGGTTTCCTCATTTGCTAACACACCCTCTTCACTGGCGACATCTTGACCTTTCAAAGCTGGGAAAGCACACGTATAAATATTAACATTAACTATGGCCCCATTAAGTGTCCCAGTAAGCCTTGTCTGGTGAATGAACAATAGCAGAGCCCTGGAACTGGCTCACCTCAATGACCTGCAGCCATCATTAATGTTATTAATCCTGTCTGTGCTCGCTCCGATTCCAGAAGTCAAAATGTCTGCTCTGAAAAGGACTACAGACCCTTCTCTCGGCCTCAGGAGGGTGTGAACTACCGTGTCCCGCCTCCAGTGTGCATGGAGTCGCTACATGCTTTTCAGCTGAGAGCAGGAGCCTCACTGTAATTCTCTTTTACTTCATGATTTTGCTGCTCTCTCTCTGAACCGTTTTTTAGCCAGCACCCAAAATGATGTGACTCACCAGACAAAAAGCTGCTTTTGCGAACACTACTATGATACTTTTGGTTTTCAATCAGATCAGAGTGCTGCTGGCTTCCATCCTGGATAAGTAATAAACAACTGATCTACACCTTTGACACCAGCTGAATGCCGACTGAAACCAGACCGATGGTAATGAATCTGCATGGGCTAAATAATAATCATGATGCACTGGGAGAGAAAAGAAAAGTGTCATGGATCTAAGGACACACCTGTCCTCCAGAGAGATTTTTGGCATTCTCATACAGCTCATCAATATGGGAGGTGAAGGACTGGAAGTCTGGGATGACGAACTTCTTGCGGAAGGCCTGAGTGAGCAGGACAATGTTGCTCTGGACACACCTGATGAACAAAAACCACAAATAGCATGCTAAAACATTGTGACTGCATGCAGTTAAAGGAAAAGTTTGTCAACCAAGTCTGCAACCTCGAAATCTGACAAACTTCTGTGAATGTTTATAGAGATGATTGATGAAGAAGCTTCATCATTATTAATCATCTGCCTTTTTATGATAATGATTTCTTTCACACCAACTGACTGTGGGAAACCATGGAGACAGTGTCTGTGACATCATCAAAGGCTCAGATTTTAATTTACTAGAGCCAAGAGATAAGCGTCAGTCACAGAAACAACCCCAAAATAAACTTCTTTAAACCTCAATGTGTTACCCATACAACAATATAATATCAATACTTTTAAAACTGCTAACATTAGAAGTGAAAATAAATACTTACAGCTTAACTTCCTTCAGACTAAAATCTACTATCTGATTTCTAGTTGTATTTTGAAGAAAGGAGGGAAGTTGTGGGTTTCCCACTGACTAAGATCTAGAGATTTATCTGTGTAAGTATCAAGCAGCTTTTACCATCCTCTCAGTTTGACATAAACCAATGTTTTCAATCTTTCTAGCCTGTGAAATAAAATCTTATTTTAGATGTTCATACTTCATACAAAAACAGAATTGCTGCCCAAATGCTGTTTGATGGATATTTTTCTTTTTTGCATGTATGCAATATGCAAATTTCTACATTTAAGTTATGTTGGAATTTGCTCTTTAAAAAATATGGTCATCAAACTGCATCATATATTTCAAGTTGAAGTGAGCACATGTACATGTGATTAAAAAAAATAAAATAAAAATAGTGCCACCATGGTAGGTGTGTATGATGGAGATCAAACACCCAAACAAGACAGGACATGACAAGACTTACCTCTTGAATAGGTGCCTGTCCAATGTTACGCCATCTGATGTTTTCTTTAGAGTCTCTTTGAGGGTTTCCATACATTCCTTCAGCCGGGGGTCTCCAGTGCGAAGCCCTGTGGCCTTAAGTGCCTAAAGTAATAGAATTAAAGAATAACAATAAATGTATATCAATACACATAAGCTTAAGGAACATTTAGGAACAACTCTGAACAGAAACTACTAACAAACAAAAACAAAGAGAAACTTGTTGTCATTTCATGCTTGTGTAGTTCAGTGGTATCTGACCATTGAGATGGGTGTTAATGTACTTGTAGTTAATGCTGTGACATTAGCATAAACCACCAAGCTGGACTGAATCTGAAGGACTTACTGTGAGAAATTTATGAGCAGGAATCTTCTCTTGACCTTCTGCAACTGTGTAGAAGAGCAAATCCTCCAGACTTGGCAGGATGCCTGCGTTTCTTCTTCTAGGTTAGAGAAGACATGTGTAAGACACAGCACTTCCAGTAATGTGAAAGTTCTCAAAGAAGTAACTGCTGCTAAAAATCACTTTGTATATGAGCCATTATTCTTTTTTTGCTTCAGAGATGATTCTGAATTACATTGGATTAGCAGCAAAGTGGAAAAAAATACCATTATTGTTGTTGTAGTGTAAATCAAAGTAACTATGATGTCACAGCAGTGGAGGCATGGTTGATATGCAGCAGGATTGCCCTTTAGCACGAGCCACAATTAAGCCCTTTCCCACCTGTCCAGCCAGTGTAAATACTGAGCTTATCTGTAACTGCTGATACAGTCTTATCACATTAGTGAGGGATGTCAGTGGCTCACACTGGAAATATGCAATCCAAGTGTAAGCATTAGCCACAGAGGTGCGTGTGTTTGGTTGTACAAACTGATCAAAGTCTTCACTGGGCATAAACAGACTATATGACTTTATAGTTCTCTGTTGGCAGTTCTCTCTGATGAGACTCTTATGTTTTATAGTTGAAAATCGGGAGATAATGATGGAGCCGAAGCTGAAGTGGTACAAAGATGGGATAAATTAGCCACTGTTGCTAGTAGCGTAAATCTAATCTTGATCAGAGTTATGCAGTATTGATTAATATAATAGCAGGTTCTACACTAATTTATATCTTCCTCTGTGATACAGCCTGCATCAAATCTTTTCTTTACAATGACATTTTGTACAGTGCTCTGTAATGATTTGCATAATGTCCATGAGGAGAGAGGCATCAGTTCAGGCTTATTTGACTCTCAAGCCAAATACAAAAAGTTTAAACGCAGTTTCAACTAACAGCTGCAATTCAGAGTGTGTCCACATGCAAAATGTCAGAGACATGGAGGCGTAGTGACCTTTTCCTTTAACCCGACGTGCCACCACTCGCTTTGTTCACTGGACACACCCCATCAGTGTGGGCACAATTAACAGAAACTGTTGGCTTCTATTGATGTATTCATACCACTACATGATTCACTTGCTTACACACACTTGCATACACTATGTGATGGGAAAAGCAGCTCTAACAGCTCTTGCACCTACAAAGCCACGGGCTAAGAAGGGTAGGAAATGGGTTGAGCATTAAATAGATGACACCAGTTAATTAAAGAATCCTTTCAATACAGACAATAGCTGACACTAAATACTACCATCAGTGAATGCAGATTGGTGCATGGTGACTGGTCATGTATCTCTAATATTTTGATTAATGTAAACACATACTACGTGGCCACTCACACGTTTTGGCGGTCGTGTCTGGAGCAGCGTTAGACCAGGCCGAAATTCCACAAATTCTCTTGTCTTTACGCTGCTCAGCCCACTGTGGCTCTTGGATTAATAAAGCCAACATCGTGGCCTGTTCACACACTGGGCATGACACAGCAGCACGATCTGCAGTGCAGCAAACTCTGCTTCACACAGAATAAGAGTATCCATATTTTGGTTTTCAAGACAAGTTGGATTTTCACACCCTCGCCATGAAAACGTATTCAACGACCCCCCCCCCCCCCCCCCCCCATGCCTGTCCAATCAAATCAAAGTCCTTCTCTTTTCATAACTAGCAATAATAATGCTATCCATTACAACCTTTAATGTTAAAACTAATTTCCATGAAAAGCCAAACTCATCACCATGTGTAGCCTATCAAACTGAAGCTTCATACTGCACAGATTCAATGCTTCTGATCCAAATCTCAGAGCCGGTTCATGAGATGTACAGCGGCCACATCAGCATTTGAAATTCCAGGATTTCAATCTGCACCTCCTCCCTGCCTTCACTCCCTCTCTTTTGGCACATCTTCTGTTCCCCACAGACTAAACACTCCACATACAACCAAGGTAACCGCGCCTGAACATGAGCACACAAACCAAGATCGACTAAAATGCAGTCTGTCAGGCATGCCTAATTCAAAAGGGACTGTTATCGACCGGACATCTGTCACTGAAACGGCACTTCCATTCAGCAGAGTCAACAAGTGAACCACAGTCACAAGGCAGCCAGCAGACCGGTGTGCAGGTGTGCTTATGCATCGTGACACATTTACGAGTATGTTGAATTAAGAGTGGATTTTTTTTTTTTTTTTTTTTTTTTTAAAGCATCCATCAAACCTGAGACAAATTCTTATCAATCTACCTGTGCAAACACAAGAGTGTCTGCACGTGGGACTGAGAAATTATTGCAATGTTTGTGAAAAGCTCATTAACCACCAACACACTCTCTGTAGCCGTGGAAGTGCGTTTGTGTTTGTAGAGTGTTGCACTTTCTGCTCTAAAACGTGCAAGAGCCACATGGCAGCACTTTGTGCAGCCACTGCAGAAAATATGAAGGCAAATTAGGAGGTAGTTGGGCAATTAAAGGGGCACTTATCAAATATCTCTTTTTAAAACGTACTTAAATTACTACATTGGTAACCATGACAGAAAAAAGTGGCAGCTTTAATAGTTGCTTTTTTTTTTGTTTCTATTCAAATCTCTTTTTTCCTTTTTCTTGTGGACATTCAGCATTGTTGTTAACACTGTTGACAAGCAGGTACAGTGCTATTAAGTATTAGCAGCACTACATGGCTGCGTTTATATTTGTAGTTAAGTCAAGTCTGGGCCAAACACAAAAAACATTGAGCCACTGTTGCCTTTTAGGGAACACATTAAACTCAAGTAACTAATTTTCTGGACAGTTTCAGTGACCTATGCTGCATGCTCAGCGTTACACAAAACCTCATTGAAAATAAGACTTAAAAAAACAAAGTTTGTCCTGACAATAACTCATGCTGCAAGTGAACTTCATCTGTCACAGATACTGACAGAGTTTACTGCACGGGGCAGATGGATGAATTAACACATATCCATATCACATAATCCTGTGGTTGGATTTTCTCAGTTGTTGCCGGCCAACATGAACTCAACTAAATGAACAAATGCACCAGAGTGTGTGTGTAAACTGCACAAACAGCTCAGGTGTGAATGAAGCTTAAAAACACCTTGTTTCTCTGCATTTGTACATTTAGAAATCTCTTCCTCTCCACAGGCAGATGGCTCAGTCCATTTGCTGCTGGCTGACTGCTCATTGGCGTGAGCACAACACTCAGAGTTTCCTGGATACAAAGTAAAGACTGAGCTTTGTTTTAAAAATCTATTTTTGCTCTAGAGTTGCAGTTCTGTGGGCTTCACAGCATGGTATTAACGGCCAGTATTTTATTATTTATACAGTACTCAGTGCATTTATTGTTCAATTCACTTCACATGTCAGTGGTCTAGCTATAGTAACATACTTCATTACCTCATATCCCCTACGTCCTCTGCAGCTCTCGTAGCTGGATTTCAGTAAAATGGTGCTTAGAAATCATGTTTTGAAAAATGTATTAATTATAAAACACCACAGGGGCCTGATTTTATTTTCACTCATCCATAATTCTGTTATAGAGAAAAGATCATTCCCTCCTCATACATGGTTCTTTTTCATTGTGTTTCTTTTCTTTTCTATATGTGTATAAGTACTTCGAGATCTGTGACAAGCACAAATATGTCATATACATTCAATTTAAAATCTGAAACGCATTGTGTGGAAATATGAACGATGATAAATGTCAATAAAAAAAAATTATAAAAAAAACAACAACAACATGTTTTTGGATACACTGGAACATAAACAATAGTATAAACCATAGGTGCTTTGAGGACTAAGACATGCTAAGATTACCATACATTAAAAGGTGTAAATGGCAGATAGCATGAACTCAAGGTCCAAGCAGTACACTGCCAAAAGCAACTTTCTGGCCTGAGAGTGTGGGTATATCCTTGGCAAGGTCACAGCAGTGACTTAACACCAGGCTTAGTTTCAGTGAGCAGTGTGTTAGTGCTTAATACCAATTTGTTTTTCTGTCATGTGTATCACAACAGTCATTTGTCTGTTTTTGATAAATTAACCCCGACCTACCTCCGCCCAGCATAGCTGTAACTGATCCCATAAATTGCTTGGGGTAAATGGCTGCGAGCCAAGGAAGGTCTTACTGTTCAACATGTCTGTGAGGCCTTGATGTAACAGAAATCTAGCACTGTGTTTTCCTGTCAGTTACACCACGTGGTACAGCTCAGTTCACAGCTTGGCGACTAACCCTTACAGTGTCAAAAAAATGACAACAATTGGCTCAATTTCAAAATAAAAAGGAAACAGAGGAGAGATTTCACTACATGTTATTTTAGAGACTGTTTCTCAGTGCACATAATGGGATGTTAAGTCATCAACCACATTTCCTTCTGTGGTTTATCTCGTGAGTCACCATCAGTGAGACACATCATCTCTCATGTATCCATACTTCCTCTGACCCATGAAATATGAATCACAGGACGGACCCCAAGTATTGGGAACAGTTATGTTTCTATGCATGGTGTCATCCTGAGCATCTGAACACGTGAACACATTCACTCTCCACTTCAGGCTCGGATGAAGACACTTGCTTTGTTTATCCCGTTTTCTGTTTTCAACATACCACAGGCTCAGTGCAGAGATGTTTGTCTTGCATTGACCCAGAGGCTTTGTCACATAGTGTCAGCTACAGAACAGGATCAAACAGAAGCAGCATTCCTGCTCATATCCATGATCTACTGCAGGAACCTAACCTGTAGCATGGGGCCTCCCATACCATGAACTTTTAAGAATGCTGTGGCTTTGAAGCCGGGTTCTTAGTGTTTTGTGTTTCCACTGTATTTTTCTACAATGCAGCCATCTCCTGAATACTAAGAATGACCTGGGCTGCTTACTGACAGTATCTGAAACTTGCATTTGAAATCACTTCCTGAGAAGTGTGGAAATTTATTCCCAGGACCCAAACCATGGGGGAGAACACTGTGACAAAAACTACATGATATGTCACTTTTCGGGAAGTTCCTTCAGTGGGAAAGACTTATTAGAGGCTGGAAAGCTACTGACCCAGAGAGGACTTTGCTTATGTGATAGCAGACTCAGCAGTGCGGTATTTACACTGGCAGAGCAGATCCAACCCCTTAGTGATGACACCGCCCCGTCCTTGTGTATCCTCATTTCTAGGTCAGGAAATATCTCATTGATGTTGGCAGCAGTGAAATCATAAAAACTCCCTTCAAAGGGAAACACATGGAGTGCAGTCACTGTACAGCCAGCCGGTTGCAGGGAATAAGACTTGAAATGTGAATTGGCTGATATGGATCATTTGAATCCAACAATGGTGAATGAGATCAGTATTTTCCAAAACCACCAGTAATTTCATTCATGTCAAGAGAAAACTGAAACAATGGGGTAATTTGAAAATGCTGAACAGAACTGGTTCTGCGATAAATCTAAATAAGGAGTTTGTCTACGCTGCAGTACAATGACAGGAATTCATGCTGATGTAGACTTCACTAATTTATCAGGACAGCTGTCCTGAAAATCAGTACTGAGCTTTTTGCTAAAAAAAAACCCCAAAAAAATAAACATTACACTCTTGTACAGCTCTTTGAATACTATGACAACTTAACAGAAAAGCTTCATACACACTTCACTTACACAGGAAGAGTGCTTAAGATTCATGTCTCAAGACTTTATAAAAAAGAAGAGCAAATATGCACGAATTGTTTGCATGCAATTTAATAGCTACTGTGTATTACATTTTTATTACTATATATATTATGTTTATTACTGTCACGTGAACTGAGCTGAAGCCATGCACAAGCTAAATCTGGATATTTTTTGTTTTCCACTTCCTATCAGGCCACTGTTCTGTTGTACAGGACAGAAAACAGATACCGTCAGTGGTCTGGAGTAGCCCCTCCAGCTGTGACCTGCAGCCTCTCCACTGAGTGAGTAGGGGGTCACAGTAGAAACCACTAGAAGCCATTCAGTTATCTCCAGATACCTCCAGCCAGGCAGCACTCATTCTTATAACCGACATCGTGACAGAAATCAAATATCCTTAAGATGTTTGATTCCATTGTGACAGGACTGAGGTTGAATTTATCTTTATTTTGACCTTCTAACTGCTTTTAAACATGAAGGTGGATCTCACCCCCGGCCCCCGAGAACAGGCCCTCTGATGTTTCACTTTTAAAAGTGCTGCACCACGCTGCGTTTCCTCTCCACATGGGCATACATCTAACCTAATTTTCAGGCCAGTGAAGGCTAACTAATATCCTGATTAACTCTGGGTTAAGTTGCCGCCGGTATCTGAAGGAGTTGTATTTATATAGCTACTTGGCACAGGGCCACTGGAGGATGAACAAGTCCCACATGGTTGGTAGCTGCTGTTATTAGGCCACTGGCTGTGCTCTTATGGTGTATTACATACAAGTGTGTTGGGTTCGGTTATTTTGCCTATAAGCAACACGTGCGTGTCTTGCTAGCGGTTAAGATAGTTAACTAGCTACATTATTGTGCTTCTGTGTTTGAGACGCGGAGAGAATAACATTACATCCGCTCGCGCCTGTATGCGTCATGACTCGCCATAAACGCCGGTCGTACCATCATTTAATTGACTCAGTTTATTCCCCAAGAAAAAAAAACCTACTTGTCGCTGGCTTCTTCGCTGCCGCCTCCATCCTTCTTTAGCTGTTCGTCCAGCTCCACTGCGCCTTCGGTTTTCGCGCAGTACGAGCGGACCGGTGTGGCGCAGGGCGCGGTGCGGAGAGCCGGGCGGTGAGCAGCGGCATGGAGGACCTTCAGTTGAGTAGACACGGATCGGGCATCAACGGAGGCGGCGCCGAAGCAGCAGTGGCGGATCGGCAACCAGGTCTTCTGTCTACAGCCGGGCAAGGGACGCTTGAGGGTGGCTTCAAACAACTCCTTCAGCACTGTGGAAAACCTAAAATGTAACATCTCAATCCTGTCGGGCAGTTAGAGAGAAAGTGTGTTTCCTAATACACGTCCTTTGGCAAGTGTAGAGCTGTTCAGACACGACTGTAACCACGATGACTGTCTGGCGATGACTCACAACCACCAGGAGTCCAACAAATACCGGCACGCGCTCACACCCCTGTACGCTCCTATTGGTGGAGACGAAGTGACGTCAGTATTCAACGATAATTTATGAGGCTGTCAAGTTCTCTATTGGCTTGTCTTCTTGTCTATTAATTCCTGATGTGTTTTTTTTTTTTGGACAGTGGGCTGATTTAGCCGGTTAGCGCTGACTTTTATTTCCATCGTCGATAAACGTATATGACGTATTTATCTGTTATCTATTGTAATTTTTATAAATGTTTTCAGTAAAGAAATAATGGCCGCCCGTATATAATGAGATCCTGTTTCCTCTTTCTTTTTCTTTTTTAAAATGCAATTCTTAATTTAATGCGTCGAATCTTACAAAAGAATCATAGTTATGATTATTAGGCCTATTAATGTTATTATTACTCTTGGGAATGTAAATAGAAATTATTTTGTTAAAATTCAGTCTTAATTTAAAGAGACGTTTGTTACTGACGCAACATTTGCTACATTCAATTGTCTTTCTGGCATAATATTATGTTGCACTATTGTAACTTCATAAAACTATAAATACAGTTCTATACGTTTAAAAAAAACAGGCTCACAAAAGCAATAATGTCTTAGTTTTATGTATCAGTATGAAAATGAATCTCACACTGACACTTTTAGCTTTACAGAACTTATGTAGGTTCTTCACATTTTTTACATATTTTCCACTTTCACCTCCTTTAGTCTAAATAGTTGCTGGAAATACATTATTTTTTATTTCCCTCAGTTTAGTCTGTCAGGCAGAGTTTATGCCACAACTTGGGCTACATGACCTTTGTACATGACTGACGCAGGAAGGAAGCAGAAAAGCCTGACAGACTTAGCTCAGGACGGAAAAGTCCCTTTGCCCTGCAGCAGCTCTCCACGTCCTCCAGTGTGTTCAAACGTCACTTTCAGAAGTTGCCACGAATACACAGCAGCGGCATGATGTGGAAGTTAGTGAGCTGCACACTGTGCTTCTTTGTCTCCTCACAGCTCAGTTTATGGTGCGTTTGGGCCACAGCAGATGAGCTGGACAGCGAGGTCAAGATCGAGGTTTTGTTCAAACCCGAGGAGTGCACTCAAAAGAGTAAAAAAGGAGATCTGATAAACCTTCACTACGATGGGTTCCTCGCCAAAGATGGTTCCCAGTTCTACTGCAGGTTGGTGGTTTGAGAAAAAAACTTAACTGCAGTTGATAGATATGATATTTTATGTTTTAAAAGTCTACATGCAAATTTGACACTGGCACTTTACAATTATGTAGCTTCCAATTGTCAGGACTGATCCCTACAGGTTTAACATTGCATGCTGTGCCCTAAGGTCTTCTTTGTAAGTGTTTTAAAGTGGTAAAACCCTTATTTCAGTCTGACATATATTAAGTTTATTGTTAAATGAGTAGGGACTCTGAATACTGGGAATTGTAGTCAGTCCTGCTTTTAGACCTGGATGAAAATCTGTATATGACATGAGCTCAGATTCATTCTAGAGTGTATGTGTTGTATAAATCCTTTATAAGTGAAAGCTGACTGACTGAGTGGATGCTGTGTCTTTTTGTATTATTTCTGCCTCAGTCGATCAGACAAAGCCGGGCATCCTCAATGGTTTGTGCTGGGTGTCGGACAAGTCATCAAGGGCCTGGATATTGGAATAATGGAAATGTGTCCTGGAGAGAAACGAAAAATAACTGTTCCACCTGCCCTGGCATTTGGAGAAAAAGGCAAAGGTGAGTAAATGTAAATATTGCATAGAATCCTGAGGGTTAGCATTGCACGTCCATTCAGTTGGGAGACTGGAAAAGCCAGATTTTGAAAAGAAATGATGCACGAGAGACAAAAAATAGCACGTCAAGCTCCGAAAACACTGGATTCTTGGTTTCCCACAATGCAACTTGATGGCATCTATTGATTAAACACTCCCTCTGTGTCTGATAAACATCTGAGTATCTGTGATCAATTTGCCAGGGTTATTTACTCAGCTTTTAGAAAGCTCTTCCAGAGCCCCAGTGGACATTACACTGTTTACTGCAAACTGTCTCCACATAAAGTAAATTGATCTTTGTGTGTAAAGTCAGTGGAATAAGTACCATAACGTTTTCAGTTGCATTACCACACAATTAAAAGTTAAGCAAGTTGGTTTTCATGCCTGAAATGAAAGTGTCTGTGGCCACATGGAACATAGAAAATCTGTGGAAATGGACAGCAGTAGTTTACATATGTTGTGATTAATGAGTTAAGAACAATACATCCTACTTATAGAGTCTTTTAAACTGATTACCAACTGTATTATACTGTTTCTTCGGTGGAAGAACTACCTTCATGCTGTCTTGTTTTCTTTTCACAGCACTTTAGTTGAAAGGGCATCACACCCCTTGCAGTGTCTGCTACTCATCTTCCCATGGCATGTGCTGTAAGCATGCACAGAGGTTAAAAGGTCTCTGCTTCATTTATCTCTTTCTTGCATGCATTGGAGCTGACTAGTCTTTTACCTTTCAACTACTCTTTCCTACAAACCTTCTTCGTGTTGATGTTCATAAATGCACTACGGTATGATCTGATGGTGGTATTGCCCGGCCTGGGGGTCTGCATCTCAGGTTTGATCACTTTACTTTGATTTCATTCTTTGTCTGTGAAAAAAAATGGTTTTGCCGAGCATGCATGCTTTTGAAGCCTATACACCAGTTTATATGCAGTCAAACCCATCCAATGTATTAAGCTGAGTTTTTCTCTCTTCACCCCTCATTAAAAAGTAAAAACTTTAAATGCATGTCACTGTAGTTATAATATTCTCTTTTCTTGCCCAGGTATCAAATCCCTTACAGGGTTTTATTTTGAAACCAAATATACCAAAATATGTCTTTTTTCAAGTTAAGTAGTAATAGTTTTTTTTTGTTTGTTTTTACCTGCACCATGGAGGTAATGTTTTCACCAATGTCTGTTAGTTGATTTTATTTTTTGATTGTTTTAGTTGATTTAGTTTGTTTGTTTGTCAGCAGGATTGAAGTACTCAACCAATTTGCACCAAACTTGTTGGAGTGATAGGTCATGCACCAAAGAAGAACCCATTCAATTTTGGGGCAGATCAGGATCATTTAATATGAATTAGATTTTTTTTCTCTGAAGTCTGGTGTATGTTGTTTGACTTTGGCCTTGACGGTGGTCTGTGCTCTCTGAGTGCCCTTCTAGTTATTAGTAATGTAATAATTATGGGTCATGATTATGACATAACTGTGTGTAGTCTTGTAAATTTTTAATGATCTGTTTTTTCCCTCCTACTAAAATAGATCCAGTGCCGCCCAATGCTACGGTGGTCTTTGAGGTGGAGGTCTACTCAGTGTCCAGGGGACCACGCAGTATGGAAGCTTTCAGACAAATGGACATCGATAAAGACCAAAGTCTCACAAAGGCTGAGGTAACTAAAAGAGTAAATTAAAGAGTAGCTTAGACAAAAGGCTTGTTTTATGTTAATATGTCATAATTAACTGCTGAGCACCTATTAACCCCTTTTCCTCTTTCTGTGAAATGTTTTTATTTTATTTATTCATATATTTTTTGTGAGAATAATATCTGGCCACTGATTTGATTTAACTTATTATTTAGGAAAATGCAACATATAGGTCAGGCACAAAACTGAAATAAACTGTCTGAAGATAGATGTTAACAATGTCTGTTTGTCAAGGGGAAAGTGTGGCGCTAAAGCTGGGAGGTTTTGTTTACATCACTGTCCATCGTAGCCGGGGCCGATATATACCCATGGCCACTTCAGAGTCATTTGACCTGGGTCTGAATGCTGGCAACAAAAGCCAGATGTTAGCGAGTGTTAGTGGGTTTTCTGACCAGTGTAAAAGGGCTAAGAAAAAGCATGTAACTCCACCACTTTTTTACGTTCTTTTTATGTGCAGATTAAACAAATTAGATTAATTTCAGGAAGTAAGCTTTAGTGTTGCTGATAGGCATATTTCTAAACTTTGGCGACACTAGCTGTTTCACCCTGCTTCCAGTCATGCTAAATTAAGCTAAAGTAAGCTAACTGCCTCCTGGCTCTAGTTTCATGCTGAACGTACAGACATGAGAGTTATGAGTTACGTCAATCTTACCATCTAACTCTTGAAAATAAAGTCAATAAGTGTGTTTCCCAAGATATTAACCTTTTTACTGCCCTTAGAATGTCAAAATTAGCACAAACCAACTGATACACAACAGCCCTGGGGCCTTAGCACAGTTGCTAATAATTATTCCCTAAAAATGTGTTTTCCATCAGTTTGTCTTCATCTAAATTTGGTGCCAGAATAAGAAACCAACACCCCCTATTTATTTATTTTTGTATAGGACAAAACAACATAGAAGAATTTAAATTTTTGATGCTATAATAACCAAACATAGAGACTGTTATTATGCTGCCAATATGTCATACTCCAGTCATGCTTTTATCTGGGTTGTTGTTAGCAGCTTGAACAGGTGCTAAAGAAGTGAACGACCGGCTATAAACACCACAGTATTATTTATCACCAGCGTGATGTGTTGATTGAAGAGCACAACAGGAGCTTGTTATGTAAGAGGAGTGTTGTAGAAGTACAATGTTTGGCTGTTATTTATCCACCACATGTGACCAATAAAGTTTTCCTTTATTTTCAGGTGAAGGAATATTTGAAACTGGACTATGAAAAAGGAGGGAAGCCACGTGATGAGCCTTTCTATGAGAAGATCATAACTGATATATTCCACAAGAGTGACCGGGACAGAGACGGACTTATCAGTGCAAGGGAGTATAATATTTATGAACACGATGAGCTCTAGTGTCAGAACTAGTTGATCCTGGTCTTTTTTTACTTTACATACTTTGATCAGTTAGAGAGAAAACATGAATAGGTTAAGGAAAAATCCATCCTCAGATGCTCATACACTGTCAGATGTCTGTTTATGATTTTCAGTCAGATTTTTTTATGTTTTTATTTTTTAGTCTTTACTTCAACATGGCTCATTTCCTGCATCCTAACCCTGCATGCTTCTGTCGTAGACGAAGAACATGAGGTCAGGAGGGGTCACAACATTTACGCTAATGCTCAGACTTATACTACATACAGTAGAGAAGATACATAGAGTAGAGCATTTGCAAAGATTAATACTATGAACTAAAAACTTAAAACTTAAAAAATAAATCTAACTTTGTCTTTTAGTAGCCTCAAATTATAGGTCACACGCTCCATTCAATATAACTGATTGACAATATTTAAAAAGGTGTCCACCGGGGGTTAATGCTTCTGAAACAGGCATCTTGTAATTGCTTTCCTGCCGGCTGCCACACAGATAAAGGAGATATGTGTCACTTTTATTTAATTCCTTTGGGGTGAGTCCAAGATATAGACATTAAAGACAATAAAACCCACTTTCTATGATCATTAAAACGGTATGGTATGCCTCTAATCTGAATGCGCATAGTCAACCAATATTGTCCCACACCTACAACATGGCAGTGGAGTCCCCATGTCTTGGCTTTTTGAGTGACTGGCATTTTCTTTAGAAATCCTTGTGCTGTGAAAAGACTGTAGCTCTGAATATCACAATCACCTTGTCCATGTTAGACCAGTTATTCATGATAATGATGAGAACATTTTCACAGGCTTCTCCTTGATCTACTGCAGCTGAGATTGTATTTCATCAGTATGTTGCTTTGGATTGAATGAATAAAACATCAAACACCTAAATAGGATCCAAAATACTGGGGAATCGCCCTTAGCTGTTTTTTTTTTTTTAAAAACGTCTTGAAGAGTTTCAGGGTGGATTTTTCTTTTAAAAAGCAGACAGGATATAACTGTGTCCCCAACACAGCTTTCCAAACCAGCAGACTAGACAAGTATTAAACTATGCAAGTAAGAACATCTGCATCACCTGTGAAAACCTTTACTTTTCTGCAAACACCACTTCATTTTAATATTTGAAATGTTTTATTCTTATCTTTTGGTTAACTCTCAATTTGCAGCACAAAGAACAAACCAAAAGATTTCACAATGATGTGGAATCAGTGGCTTTAAGACTAGAACACGACCGTCACAGTAAGAACTGAGACCATGAACAAACGTCTCTAACTTTGCCACCTTCCTCTGAATGTTCTGCCCTCTAATCTGCAGTATTGCACTAGTGCACGGAGGTGACTACATTACTTTTTAATTTTTCAAATTGAATGTCCAATATAAACAAACAGAGATTAAATGTGGCTGTGGTTTGAATATAATTGATGATAAACATACGCACATGCGTACGTGTTGTGGTCTGTCAGAAATGTTTACAAGTTTTGTGTACATCTTTTCATCATGATTAACATTTTATTCAGGTGAACCATTGTTGTATTTAGTAACACAATAAATAAACCATGTTATAGTGGAAAACTACAGTATGTCCCATGTAATTCATATTTTCCTCCTTGGTTGAAACCATGGATTCACAGGCTTTTTCCCAAGAGGAAAAAAGGAAAAAGAGAGATTTTGCATTTGCATTTAACTTCCAGCTGAGGTGGACATGAGGACGGACCTTGTGAGACAAATGTATTTTAGTGCAAAGTGTTTTCTGATTACGTTTTGCTCATTTTAAGACATGAAATGATGAGACACTGACTAGATGGTTAACTCTCACAGATGACATGCATGACAACAGCTGTCAGTGTTTTCCGTGTATAGGATCGTTCATAAATGCGTTTTGGTTGTCTTTATCAGGTCAGCTACTATAGGAATTTCTCTCCAGTGTGTGTGTGTGTGTGTGTGTGTGTTGAGGTGCACATACACACACTTGCCACTAGAGGGAAATGCTCAGCCAAGAAAAAAACGTGCCTAAATGAGAGAAATTTCCAACAAAACCTGAAAGACTCCAGAGCTGTGGAGAGATTGTTAGCAATCCTCCGGGGGTTTGACCATGGGTGACCCCACAGAGTAAATGAAGCCGTTGTTAATATAAAACATAGAGATCAGTGCAGCTTTAAGTAAACAAGTGGGAAAAGATGTAACTACAGACATAATGTCACTGGTCTGTAGCAGTGTGTTATAGTACAGCATGGAGACTGAGTTGTCACTGTATGTGAGAAGCAGAAAGGTGTTTGAACAGAGTGAAGGAAATGTCTTGAAGTGTTATTTCCCTTTTAAAGGCCTGTATGCATAAAAATCCTCTAAAGCTTGTTTTCCATGACATGGAAGGCTTTACTCTTTCTATTCCGATATAAATTCTTAAGATGTTTAATTTTATTTCTACAGCAAAAGCTTTTAATCAACTCTCTAGTAATTATGTTGAGATACTGTGGATCATATACAAGTAACTCTTAAAACGTGTCATGTTTCTTTATATTAAAGTTAGGGCGCCCTCTGGTGGAGTAAGCTCATATGGCACATACAGACTGTTGAATGTTGTTGGGACGGTTCAATATGTTCATCAGGAAACACAGGGAGGAATCAGCTGTTTGTCTGTCAAAGTCTGACAAAGATGACTGAGCAGAGATTGAGAACTGTCGATTTCCTCCTGTTACATTTTTGATTCAACAACTGGAAAAGTTGAACTAGATGTGCAAACTTTCCTCTTTCACAAATCCAACTGACTGTTACAGTGAACCGACACATGGTTGATTATCTGCTGCTAAAGACGTTCCTGTCAGGTAATGAAGTTCACTGGACCCAGTGGTTTATTTAAACACAACCAGGGAGACTTACTGAACAGGTAAAAGAAATCCAAGGTGGCGAAGCAAAACAAAGACCATGAACAGAAGTCTAAACTCAACAATATCCAGTAGGGTGACACAGAGAGTAAGAGAACAAAAAGCACTAGGAAGACTGGGAAACCAAACTGATGCACAAGGACATCTGAGGAAAAAACTCAAAAACTCAAGTGTTAAATTTACTGCATGACCAGAAAGAGTGTGTTAGATTACCAATCACACATTTACATTGATTACAAAAAGGTGAGATAGATGGATCCACTTAGATTTTTGGGGCCTTAATATATAATTTTATTTGCTTCCAGATTTTTGAAGTGTTGTCAACTGTGAAGCTGTTACTGAAATGCAGCTTATTAACAGTAGTGGGGCTATTGAGAGAAGCAGGCATGGAGGTTTTCTTGCATAGTGATCTCTCAATAAGTAACCATGCCGGACAGGAGTCTATGGTAGAAAGAGGCCCTTTTTCCCACCAGGTAAGAATGGATAAATGAGCAGCCCAGCAGTTACTGTCTACGCTGTATGGTTCTGGAGGATTTTGATTGTCTAAACTGATGAGCTAGTAAACTGTAGGGCTTATCACCAAGCTCAAAGTGCCTTTGTCTGACTCGTACCAGTAGCTTTGAGACATTTTTTGGATATTATAGAATTATACTGCAGTGATAATTCTGGTTCATGCTTTGTTTTATACGTAGCCTCCAGATTTGCCAGCTGATCATCTGTTTCAGGTTAACTTTGCCTTTTTTCTTCTGCCTCATATGATATTATGTGGCCTGAGAACAGCCTCCATTGCCTTCCAAAGAGTGGAATCATCCCAGTTCACTTTTATTATGTAGGTGTCCATCAAACGACGACCATCAGCGTGGTAAAGAGAGACAGAGAGGGAGAGAGATAGAGAGAGCCACAAAGACTCTCTCTGAGAGTGAGGGGGAGAGAGTTGGAAGGGGGGAGCGAGCGAGAGTAGAAAGGGATAAAAAGGTGAGAGGAATGAGAAAGGGGGAGAGGGGGTGACATAGAGAGGGGCTGAGATGGGTGGGGGTGAGATAGAGAGGGGGTGGGATAAAGGGGGTGAGATAGGGGGTGGGATAGGGGGTGTGAGATGATGGGGGTGAGATGGTGGGGGTGCAATAGAGAGAGACGGGAGGTGAGATAGAGAGAGGGGGGTGGAGAAGAGTTGTGGCACCGGGTCATTTGTCGTCGTCATGGCAGCAGCAGCAACAGCAGCAGCAGAACAGTCTCATGCACAGAGGTCGTTTGGTTTTCTTCTTCTGTTCAATGATCAAAAACAACATGTCAGGACAGAAGTCACAATAAAAGGCCACAGTCAATAAAATCAACCTGAGCAGACGTCTCACAGTAACAGACCACCACACTGCTCCTATGTTCCTGAGGAGACTTCATCACCTCACAACTCACAGAGGTTCTTCTGCTTTCAGCTCAGTGAAGAAGAAAAACTGCCTCTGACTTGTGGCTCATCATGAAGCCTTCACACTGTCTGTGCTGCTTCCTTCTATGTAACTCAACATCATTTGATCAAATCTATCCTGGTGTACTTCCATTGTGGTCTCACTGATTATAATTCCATGTAAACACTGCCTTACCTTTGAGGTGGTGCTGCAGACCTCATCTGTTGTAGCTTCAGACAGGGGCGGGTCTTTTCTGGTGGAGGACGTCAGAGGAGAGGGGGAGTCCTGTGTCATCGGCCTTGCAGTGAAACTTATCCACACGGGCTCTTCCTTCTCGGTGTGAGGCTCCGGGGTTTTCTGTTTCAGGACCCTTCTCTTGACGAGAGAGCCTCGTCCTGTCAGGATGGATTTCATCGTTTTAATGGCTCCTGCCAGAGTCTTCTTCCCTGCTCTGTCCTTTGACACCTGGGAACTGGTAGGAGAAACAGCACTGGAGGATCCTTTAACCACTGAGGCTTTAATGGCCACAGAAAGGACAGGGTTGACCACATCGAGAGCCTCAGTGGCGATGGCCTCCGTGAAGTCAGGTGAGATGCTGACGGGGATATCTGCACCGATGGTATCACTGACAGCCTGGCTGAAGGAGCTTTCCACGCTACTCTCGACGTCATAGTTGAAAAACTTTTTCAGATGCTCGGAGGAAATGGGGCTCTTCAGGATGGCGGTGCGAGATGTGGTGGATAACTGACTGAGTGACCGCAAGACGTTTCTTATGACCGAGTCTGAGATGAACTTCAGCAAGTCCACACACATATCGATCAGCTTCTCCTTCACATCTCGATTGTAGACGCCTTCGCTTACTTCCCTCCATTGTCTTCAAAAGAAAGAACAGAATCAAAGGGTGAAACACAAATAATGCACACAAATGTGTAAATGTCTTCAAGCATCCACTAGAGTTTTAGTGAGAAAATAAAGAACTTACTCTTCAGTGAGACTCTGGAAGAATCTCCTTATTACAGGAGACATGTTTGGCACAGGTGTCTGGTCTGCTGCTGCTTCATTGTCCCCCTGGGAAAACTCAGTAGGTCCGTCTTCTTCTGAGGATGATGCTGAATGTATCTCCATGACCAGCTCATCTTCAGCCTCTGCACGTCTCTCTTCAAGAGGCTCAGTGAATTGTTGTTCCAGAGCGAAAGACGTTTGTTCAGCTGGAGCTTCATACTGCTCTTTCTGATCCTTGTAAGAATTTAAAGATCAACAACAACAATGGTTAGTAAAAACAAGTAAAAACAATATTTCAAAGTTGAACAAAAAGGCAACAGAAGACAGTTCAATATAATAAACAGGATAAGATAGGACTGAACTTTTACCTTCACAGGGGAGCAGGTCAGGTTAGAACCAGGAGCCTCATCCTCGTGGCTCTGTGACACCAGTGCTGTCTTTTTGCTGAAGCATTTCTTCCAGTCTTTCTTTACTCTTTTGAAGATGTTGTTCTTGGCTGGTTTCTCGGTCTTGGCATCAGAATTAATGGACTCCTGTGTCCTGACATCCTGCTCAGTCACTTGGCTAATGGTCATATTTGGTTCTTCGTCGATGGATGAGGTGGTTGAAGAAGAAGAAGCAGATGAAGCTTCCTCCTCGCTCTCCTGTGACCTGGTGGAGAGTCTGGAAGATGATCCTGTCTCAGGGATCCTGACTTTCTCTCTCTCTTGAATATCTTCTTTCTCTTCTCCTTTCTTGGAGATATCTGATTGAATTTCTACAACCTGTTCATCAGCCTGAGTCTCTTCTTTATCTTCTTCCTCTCCTTTACCAGAGATATCTGGTTGAATGTCTGTTTCCTGTTCATCAGCCTTAGTGTCAAAGTCTTCAGGAAAAACTTTCTCTAGACCAACAGATGTTTGTTGTTCCACTGTATCGTCTTCCTGCTCTGCTTCTACATCCAGTGGTGTCATCTTTTTGCTAAAACCTTTCTTTAATGTTGTCTTTAACCCTTTGAAGAATTTCTTCTTGGCTGGTTTTTCAGTTTTGGAATCAGAATTAATGGACTCCTGTGTCCTGATGTCCTGCTCGGTCACTTGACTGATGGTTGTATTTGGTTCTTCGTTGATGGTTGATGTGGTAAAGGAAGAAGAAGCAGATGAAGCTGCCTCCTCGCTCTCCTGTGACCTGGTGGAGAGTCTGGAAGATGATCCTGTCTCAGGGATCCTGACATCCGCTCTTTTTTGAACATTTTCTTTCCCTTCTTCTTTCTCAGAGATACCTGGTTGAATCAGG